ATGTGTGAGTGAGTAAGTGAATGATATATTCGCAGTGCTGCCGCCGTGTTGGTTGACGCAACTACTGCACTCGAATCCCCATTTTCCTACTACTGATAATTATTTCAGATTGGTTTTAGTCTTTCAAAAAGATTTCGAACTACTTTAAAGTAAGAGTTTATTTTTTTAATCCCATAAAATAAGGACTTAGGTGCATTGCACATAAAAAAAAAACAAAACATTTATTATATTAATTTCTTAGAAAAAACAAAATGCCTATTTATTAAAAGAAAATTTACCTTATTGAACAATTGACATATGAATGCAGATAAAACTTATAATAATAGATCGAATTTTATGGTTCTTTGTCGCCATGATAGTACATGATTTTCTACAGTAGCAGTTTCCAATAAAAAAAAAAACACAAATATGTATTACACGAGTTTTAAAATTAGATTTAATTGTAATCAATATGGCAATAAAAGAAATTATGAAAGGAAAATGTACGTCTTCTCTTTTTGGAGTATGCATACTAGTTATGACATAGAAAAGTTACACACATTTTGGATAATACAAATACCACACCATTACTGCAAAGACATTTGGTTATTGGCGCCATCTAATTCTGTGAGAAAAAATCTTCACATTTCACACACGTTTCAATGAGCCGTTTCACTAAGCTATACAGAAATTTGCAGCCACCCAGTGACAAATACGATTAATATATGAATATGTGACGTGAATATTTGATGTAACTGAGGTGCTCCATTGGCGATGGAACGACTTAAGTCGTAAAACATTACATCGATATAAATGGGAACTTTCAATACATCTTCATCCAGCTTGATTTTTAGATTAATGCGATTACCAAACTGAATCTGAGCCACTTTAATAAGGGCTTGATTCGAAATCTTGCCAACTGCCATTGTTCCATAAAAAAATTCATATCGTACTCCCAGCACCATATTCGAGCAAATAAACTCTGATGCAGTCTCTTCAACGCCAGTAGCTACAATATCATCCAAATTGGGGGGTTGTATTATTTTGAATTCTAGCCAATGCAATGTATCGTTTCGTGGATTACCTAGGTGAGAAAAGAATGAAATATTAACTTAGTTTATATCAAATTAAATGAATGAAATCATATGTATATATTACCCATTTCTGATATTCGACTAATAAATTGGTTATAAACCGTTGAATTGGCATTTTTTAACTCAAGATTATGAATCAAATGATCAAAAATATTTCGTTGGAACTTTCGGCAGATGTATGTATTGTTTTGCTCAAAATTCAAGGGCTGTTCATTGCTATTCGTTTCATTGAATTCAGTTAATCCTAAAATGACATTGCATTTAACGCGTGTATTTTCGTAAAAATTAACCGTTTGGAAGGTGCTATTGCTGATCATGCAATCGCCATTCGCTCCGATTGTTGGTACTTTCAGAAAATGATCATTATTAGTGCATCTGGTTTCATTATGAAAATACGCCAAAAAGCTTCCACCCACTTGAGTCATATTATCACCAACATTATCATTTGGTTGAATAAATTTGGAAACAATAATCGGTTTATGGGGTAAGTATCCAATATTGCCACTAACTTGATGCACATCTCTTGTTGCAAATGTTTCATTTATTTCCAAATATTCCAAACTAATTTTTTGCAATATTTGAGTTATTGGACTTTCGCTATTGAACTCACTATATACAAAAAATGCAGTCACATTCAGAAGGTTTGTAAAATTGTGATGAATATGAATAGATATTTGATCGCTGATAAAATTTTCACCGAACTCTGATATTGGTGTAGTCGTTGAATTGGTATCTTGTGTGCAGGTTCGCATTGATATCACATCAATGCAATGATAAATATTGACAAAAATACAATTTTCAATTTGGTTCGCAGCTTGAATCGATTTACAAAAATCTTTCATTACTGCTGATGTTGTATATAATGGTTTACGATATTTTAGAACTTTAACACTTTTCAATTTTGTTTGAAAATCAAATATGAATTGATCGTGCACTTCAAAAGTTTGTACACACTTTGTTTCGTCATCAACTAAGTGTTTTAGATCATATTTTATACGACAATTAGATGCATATAATGGCCAAGGAACATCTATTGTTTAAATAAAAAAGAAAATCATTAAGCAATATTGCACTTATAATATATTTTATAATTAGACCTCTTTACCGAAAAATTGTATTTCTTCTAGTGCTTCATCCCAAACCAAGATTGGATCGCCGAATATATAGTGTTCGCGATAGTCACTTTTTGTAAATACTTGATCATCATATTGATTTGGCCATCGATACTGAACAACATTCAACATATTTACGTCATTAGTCTGAAATAGTCAACATTACATTAATATATTTTAATAAATACGAATTATTTATCAGTATTCAGTATCAGAAGAAGAACAGATTCTTCATCTTTAACATTGGTCTAACCCCTAGTCCCAACTACCTCCGCTAAAAACGAATGGAACCCTCTAAACAATTTCAACGAAATTCTTCCGATATACTGGCGGTTTGACCAAAATTCTCTTTCTTCCATAATTACTTGTGATCCAAGTCATACATGAGCACTGAAAAAATTTAGGGGGGGAGGGTGTGTTTAGCGACCAATCAAAAAACCCTAGAAAATTGAAAGATTTTTTGTCGCGAAAACCCCTAGCAAACTTGAAGAGCGGAGGGGGTTAGCTCGAACGATTTAAGGGGGTGTTATCCGGGCTTACACTCCACCTGTGCCCATGTATGATACAAGTAGAATAAAAAATTTCTCTTGAACATTACCTTGAAACTTCTTTTTCGTGTTTGCTTTCGTCTTCGTGTGCCTTCAACAATACAAAATAATGAAAATTGTTGACTTTGTGAACAAAGCTGCAGTTCAGATGATTCTTCATAATCATGAATTGACCAATCACGCTCATTACACTTCAGTGTCTGCATTATCTCTGTAGATGCACAATCAATGTCACAACAGCAGTTAATGTCACAGAAATTTATCTGTAATCCAATAATTAATTTTTAGAATGGTAACTTAATAAATTATCTAAATATTAACACGGTTATTGAGGTCAGACATAATGGGGCCTTCCCTACGATAAAATCGCAGCGAAAGACCTTCTATATTGGTTGTAGATATATAAATTTGTTTACTTTTAAATCGCATGGGCAATAATAATCCGATGGAATGAAACGACGTCGAATTTCACGTCGTGTGAACTCAGATAAATAGGGATTCAAATCTGTCGGTGGCATCAAAGACACATTGTATACGTGCGATGTGTTCGAAACCATTTGTATAGATGTGTTGTTGATGAACGAAGACGATGTAGCTGTAACATTTTGTGAATTCAAAGTCGTCTTTGTCTTAGTATTCGTTGAGTTCAAACTGGAAGTGGTGGTTTTCAATATATTTAAATCAACTGTCGATTTTGTAGTTATTTCGACTGGTGTTGTCATTTTGGGTGCCTCAATTTTACTTATATTGTCACTTCCAACATTAGTTGATAATATCGGAACCCTCTGCGAGTCTTTAAAACGCGAAATTTCTATTTTAACACCTGCTTCTATCATATTAATGGTACACAAAACAAGAAATAACTTCCAATACAGTAAACTCATTTTTCAAATTTTATTTTAAATCAACACCAAACGTGGAGAAATTTTTCGCTATTATCATCAGTTCAACCGTTACTTTTCCAGCAGATATAGTTGACAATTTATATCTGTTGATGAAAAAAAAATTCATTACACAAAATAAGAGCAGGGATTGTTCCTCTGAGGGGGAGGAAAATGAGGAGGAGGAAGAGAGCGAGGAGGATCCTTCTCCTCAAGTGAGGAGGAAAAGTTTTTTTTAGCTCAAAGGGCTATTTTTATCACAAAAATATAATTTTTAGCTAAAAACATTTTCCTCTTCACTTGAAGAGGAGGATCCTCCTCGCTATTCTCCTCCTCGTCATTTTCCTCTTCACCATTCCCCCTCTTCAGAGGAACAATCCCTGAATAAGAGGTTGACTTAATAAGGTTTATACCTTTCGACACCACTGTATACCAAATCGCTTTTGCTGATCGTTGAACCACCTGTATTGAATCTGGTTTTAAGTGAGTCAAAGTAGGTTTTTGTGGTTACTTTCCACGTTGAAATATCAAAAGAATGTAATCCAGGCGCAGATGGAATGTATGCAAATCCGAAACTGAATGAGAGTGAATAGAGCAAGAACGGTTCATGTTCATTTATATTCCATTGAATTTATTTTAAACGAAATTATAACTGTTTTCAACCAAATATAATATTTTTACCCAACTGGCCAGCATTGGTTCAATGCATTGACTGTATAGATTTCGATATGAATTTTTGGCCACCCTTGTATTCCGCGACAGGCTAAATGAACATCGATCGGATGTGCAAATGCACAGTATGTGTTTTCAAACTTATTTGTACAGGTTGCTGTCTGTCCTTCCAAATATCCTTCTATGTGTTTCCAATTAGATCCTTTGTCATTTCATTTTGATAAAAATCAGACAATATATTGAATTAACTGGTCAGTTGAGCTGACAGTACTTTAGCCAGCTAAATGGGCTAAAACAATAAACGTTATTGTTTTAATGATGAATCACTTTTCTTGTTTTAATAGAAGTGATTGTTCATTATAACAATAACTTCTATTGTTTCAGTCCATTTAGCTAGCTAACGTACTGTCAGTTCAACTGACCAGTTAGTTAAATATATTGTCTGATAAAAATGTTAAAAATTTGCAATAAGATTGATATTTTGGAATAATTTAATTTATTTTATTTACCATACTGAATGCTCCATTTGCAAAATAATGTCGGTTCTTCAAAATCACATGCACTCAATATCTGCCCGATCAAATGTAATTCTGCCATGCGAAACAAATTACCGAGATCTTCGATACAAAAATGTAGACTTATTTTCTCACATAAAATCACATTTAATTTTTTTTTTTATTAACTTCAGAAAATCATACTTTATATAACGCTGACAACAATATGAACTATGTATCGACAGTGAAATGTGTTTGGGTTAATAAGCATTGTTGGTCGGTTGTCATGGTAATTATTACCTTACCTTTTCCATTAGTTCCACGCACGCACACACGCAGAGAAAGAGAGAGAGAGAACACTTGGGTGCGAATTTCTTCCATTTGATTTGTTTATTTTACATTAATTGAATTTGCCGTTTATGCTGATTTTACTGAATGTATGTTTGAGACTAAAGTGATTTCGAATTTTTATCATTTCTCTTTTAGATTTATCAGACCATCGACCGTATTTTGCCGTATTCTTATTAAAAGAAAATGGTTATAATAAAAAAAAAACGAATTATTATTAAGTGATAATTACCTCGTTGCTTTGTGGTTACACATACTTAAAGTTTTATCTAAACAATAAACAAAATGTGTGTTGAATTTTTCTATCGATATTAATTCAATCCTTTCTTTATTTTCCAAAAATTGTAAATTTCCCTCCTTTTTGTATAATTTTTGTGCAATTTTTTTGACATAATAATAAATTTTAAAAGTTTTCATCTAAACTAAATTATAATTTCTTTCTCAATTTATTTTGTTTGCATTTTCTTTGTTTTCGTTTTGAAATAATTTTTTATTTTTCTCTATTTCTTTGCACTTTGTTTCATTCATGAGCGTAAAATTAGACAAACTAAATAAACTAAATAAAGACAAAGGAACCAGAAGAATAATTTTTATTGTTTTTCTCTAGTCGGTAACATCTTAAAAATTGTGATTATGCTGAATTCATGTATATATATATATAAATGTGAGTGTGTGTGTATGATTTATTTTTTATTCATAAATGATGGTTTGTCGTTTACTTCTTTGTGTTTACCACGTTCAAAATATATCATTTATTCACTAGTATTCGTTTGGAATCAAAGTTGAACATCGTAATGGGAAATTCTATTCATGGAAAATTAGTTAGCCAATCATGTTTTTTAAAATAATTATTGTCAAATGCAAACATTTGTTTCGTCCTTTGTTGAATTTCGTCATTTTTTCATATTTTAATTTTTTGCTAAATTGAATGTTTTTTACTGATATTTCCCACAGATATTCATTTATTAAAATCGAGAATGAGAATTATGCTAATTGATTACATGTAAAAATATTTCGATATGACACATTTCTACGATTCCTAATGATGTCATTTTTTTGTAACGACATCACAGCTAAATGCAATGTATCTATAGATTCGGTGCATTTGCATTTTAAAATGTAGAATAGATTGGATTGTCACAACTATCGTCGTTGACCGTTAAAATAAGCATCACCTTCCACTGGAGCATCGCCATCATCGTCATCTTCATAATCTGTTAAATTGTCAGCACCTCGTTTTCCATTCAGATGATTTGGCTCACCGTCCCCATTTGTCATTGAAAGATTTTTCGTGTTTGACGGTTTTAAATAGCTTGGGCCAGACGCAGCGTTCGGGAAACGAATCAAGTAACGTTCTAAGCGCAAAAATTTGATCGACACTAGACGGCTATCGAACCACCAACCATTCACTTCATCATGAATCATGCCGGCATCTTTAGAAGATGCGCATCTAACGTACACGCAACAAGTCTGTTTGTCCAATTGTAAATCATATATTTTGCAGGTGGTGTGTGCTACCTTTTCTAAAATGGCATCCTGTATAACTTGTTTGAGATTTGGATTTGATGATTCATGTTTGTCAAACATTTGTCGAATCTTCAAGCATTCGGTTGGCGGATCCTTGATCTTATTGCTTTTATCAAATGCAGGACTTTGCCATTTCTTAATATTGCCATGGTTTAGGGTATTACATGACCGAAGACTTGGATATGTTGCACAGGGAATGGTATTTGATGATGTGGCATTACTCAAATTACTTGAATTGCTGCTTGTACTTGCCGACAGTGTATTGCTACCAAATGTGTGTTGGTTTTGGCTCATTGGTGACACTGTGTCAATCCAACGCATTACACGATAATCTTCGCCATTTCGTGTTGCAACACTAAACTGAACACGACTATCGCTTTCAACCGCCTTGATAGCTGCATTCCAAATCGACTCCATTTTATTTCTTTCAGTGGGTGGTATCAATTTGTCACGCAAATGATTGATTACAACTGATGCTGCGTCTGTGCATGCCGTATCTGGATCATACGCTTTTTCCATTAGTACATTTTTTATCTCTTCGATCATAGATGTTATTCGTTCGCGACGCGTTTGTAAATGTCCACGTATAAAACGTACGATGAATAGAATCACAAATGTGACCAGAGCTATAATAACAATCCATCCGATGATGGCAAAAACCGCTTGAAGCTTATTATAAAGGAAACAAGAAAGTGGCAGTCGTGGTTTAACAATACTAAAGTAATTGGCTTGCGATTGCCGGAGTCGAACAAGATTTGTCATTGATATGCTTGTCGATGGTTGAGCGCTGGCATCGATGAAATGTCCAACACGCCACTGTGGATTCACCGAAATTAAATACTCGGCATTGTGAAGTGCTCGAATTATGTCAATTGCACTTTGTTCATGTGTTGTTTCAAAAATAAATTGCACAACTTCTTTTGCACTCATTGCAAATGGAGCTGTTGGATCCGTGCATCGATTATACTCGATTCGCTTTTGTAGTTGTGGTATAAGAACTTTCAGTAAATTGAATGCCGGTTCAAGTTGATCTTTCTCAATGCAATTCTCGGTTGGCTTGAAATGTGGCTCACCATTCACCATTGTCATTTCGGTATCTGAACATAATTTAAATGTAGCAGCTTTTGCATCTAGTGCCAACGATAAATCTGGATTCATAGTCAAATACGCTATGATAACGGAAGTAAAGAAAAAGAACAGAGCCGATAACAAAATGCACGGCACGAACGATTGTTTTACGCTGTACCGTTCATACTGACGATTAAAAAAATCTGAATAGATATTCCGAATAGAAAATGGTTTTCGGTTGGTGTTATCAATGTTGGCCTGATAAGCGATGCTATTATCTCTTGGCAACATCGATAATCTAGATGATATTGGCTCATTTAAGTAACGTGAGACACGGGCTGATGGAAAACTTAGCAGAGGAGGTCGTATATATCCATCAAACCGGTTACCTTCATAAAGAAATGAGTGTTAGGAAAAAAGAAAAACAGTTTTTAGTCAAATGATGAATTAAATTTACTGTATTAGTTAGTATTAAATAATCCCTACTGGCATCTGAAATTGGAGGTGCATTAATTGTTGAGCCCAAACTCCTATTCCGTAAGCTTAGCAAACGTTTTGTGAAATTGGTTGATGAGTATGGTGAGGATAGATCATCATTGTCATGCTCACCATTTGTGCTAGATTCAGACGACGCATTTAATATGCCAGTACTGTGCGAACTATTATCAGCAGTATCATTTGAATAACGACTACTATGACCATTATAAACTGTAGACATTGTTCTGTAAAGAAAACAAATGGCATTAGCACTCCAAACGAAAATCATAAAGCCGATAATAATTACCGCATGCCAGTGGAATTATTTTTGTATCGATTTAAAAGTGATGTATTCATTCCATCGTTTTGATCAGATTCTTCGTCCGTATCGTGTTGAATTAGTGGTGATATGTAGATTGAGCTTGTTGGGGACTTTTTTGTGGTCTGGAAAAAAAATTATAAAAATCTTGAAACATTGAACACAATAAACGATAAAATAGCCTTGTGAATATTGCATTTACCTGATTTTTCTCGCTCCATAAGTTAGTTGGTGGTTTTTGAGTAGTTGGTGGCGGCAAATTTAAGTTTGCTCTATTTGCCAGTCGATTGTTCGTAGATATTGTTGAACGACTGCGACCTTTTGCTGATTTTGCTTTTGTGTCATTGACGGTTGATGAAATGTCTTCATCGGACGAATATCTTGTTGCATATTCTGTGTCACGTCTCAATTTTGATTTTTCACTTTCGATGAGATTGCGAAGTCTTTTGATCAATGTTTTCCGTGTTGTTGTTGTGACTGGTATAGTTGGTACACCAAATTGTGCTAAACGATATTGCAGCTCTTCATTATTCAGCTCATTTAAGTCTTCCATGTCTGATTGTTGCGTTTAGCAATGCAGATTGAATTCGATTGTGTTTTGATAATCTTAATATTGATACATACAATACTGCGCTTTTCACAAACAATTTAACCTACGAAGTAATTGAAAGAAAACATTATTAAAAAACAATACACGCCAAAATGATTGTATTTAATTCCAAGACAAAGATGTTGATGCGGTAACATTACAATGTATAATGTATATGTAAACAAAATAGCCGAATAGCCGAGAACTATGATGATGGCATACAGTTACAATAGAAAACAAATGAAAAAAAAAATGTTGCACCAGTGTCGAGACAAACTTCAGAATGACCTTTAAATTAGACGACTTGCGCAATATAATTGTGGTATGATGCACAAAATTTGGCCCGATTTTTTCTCTTAGGCCCGATGGTTAAAATCAGAGATATTGAATATTGTGTTAAAAAAGTGTGAATTAAGAAGATGGTATAAACATACAATTATTGCTAGCCACTATCGCAAATCTCGTTGGTTAAAACGACCATGTATTTGCGTTATTCGCACGGGCAAAGCTAACAAAAACTGTTAATGAATAATATAACCTCACTTCGTCTGTTAAAATTGGGATTGTTTTCTGCTTGCCAATGAGCATCGGAAAAAATGACAAGTAATCAAAAGCAACAGTTATGAGCAATACTAAAAAATTTGCTAAAAATTGAATATATACACTGAGAAGCTATTTTATTAACGGTTTTGAGCATTGATACAATTGAAAATTTTGATTTGTTTATGAGCATCGAGTGCTAAATAGCAAGCAATTGCCAAACGAATGTAAAACTCTTAGCAGCTTGTTATTGGCCATTAAATTTTCTATTTAAATCTTGTGTGTATTTTTTCTACAAAATTTTCTGAAATTGAATATGTATGATGAAAGTTTTTTTATATTTCTTGCTATTTTTAGTTCTGCGTCACTTGTACAATCACTATATAAAACCCGCGTTTTGCATATATATACAAAAAAATAGATTATTCTCCGGTCATTTATCTGAATACACAAACGAATATGCACATGTATGGGTGCTTACATACAAACACACGGACCACAGAGTATACATCAGTTTCTCTCATGTCCAATCTTTTTTTGAAGTACACATCAACAATAGCAGGTAAGCCGAATATTTTCACATTAAAATATTCATACAAACTTTTTTCTCTCAAAACACATAATTTCCACAAGGCTGAATTAGCTGAATGTCACCGCATTGGGGCAAATCTTTGTTTATCTTCGTACAATCTTACTTGTATAGAACTTCACTATTCGTATTAAAATTCCTTGTACAGTATAATACACAATGATTATTCGCAACTATATGCAATTATTATATGTATTACTTGCACAATGTGCATATTTTCATTATAAAAAATGTTGCCAATCAAACTTTGGCTAATTACACGATACTAATCGGTTTTTATGGATATTCTTTTGTTAAATGAGAACAAACTTACTTTGTTGATTCGTTTCACTCTTTAATTAATAAATGCAATTTCTTCGTGCAAAAACAAAATGATAGATAGAATGGAAAAACTGTCAAACAAAACAACAAGTAACAAAATATAATACAAAAAACTCTACGCTTTGACGCGGGCGATGCAGCCGCCTTAATTTTGTCGCGAGAGGTCGCCGCTGTTATATAACAACTCGTAAGAGTATCAAATTAAATTAAATCAATTCAATGTAAAAACCGACTGATAATTAATGACTACATCGTATATCGTTCCCTTATTATTTAATTTTAATTCCTCTGGAAATTGAGAAATGAGATAATTTAAGTTTAAGAAATATTATTCATTTTGACAATCTCTGATATTTCCGATCTATTTCATATTTTCAATTATTATCTATTTTGTTTCAAATAAACTTCAATTCTCTTTTTGACTTTTGGACAAACTTCTAATTCTATTAATTTAAAATCACTATTATTTCATGCAACTTTTAACGTGTTTTGATGTTAAATCTTCATTGATTATGTTAAATATGAACATTATTTGAGCAGTCTTTCTTCAAACCTTACCATTTGAAAAAATAGCAAAAGATGCTCATATTATTATGATGTGGATTCCAAATTTGTGATGCACACAATGCACTCAATGTGTGATTTGAAATTCATATTTTCATCCAACAGCACACCCAGATCCTTCTTTCTATTGGGTGTATGCATTAAAAAAGGGAATTTTTTTGGTGAAAAGATACATTTATTTAAAAACAACTGTACAATATTTTTTAACCAATGTATTGCCCATCGTTAGCTATGACTTCTGTCCATCTTCTTGGTAGCTTGTCGATTCCGCGTCGAAAGAATTCCTCATCTTTTCCAGCTATCCAGTCATCGATCCATTTTCGAACTTCTTCGGCATTTCGAAAGCGTTCATCGGCCAGGTCGATTTGCATCGATCGAAACAAATGGTAATCAGAAGGAGCAAGGTCTGGAGAGTACGCCGGTTGATCAAGCCGATCCCAACCGAAGTCTTGTACTTTTTTTTTAACGATGGCTGCACGATATGGCTTGGCATTGTCGTCGTGAAACATAACTTTGTTTTGTTTGCTCGCTATCAGAGGTCGTTTATTCTTCAATACATGCTCCATTTTGATTAATTGCATTCGGTATCGATCACCAGTAACCGTTTCATTCGGATTTAGCAGCTCATAATACACGACACCTTTCTGATCCCACCAAATGCACAGCTTGACCTTCTGGCAATGAATGTCCCGTTTTGGCTGTGAAGGTCCTGGTTGGCCTGGATCAACATACGCTCCTTTACGTTTTGGGTTATCGTAATAGACCCATTTTTCATCGCCAGTGACAATACGATTCAAAAAGCTATGTTTTTTGTGCTCGGCAAGATGTTTTTGGCATGCTGTGATTCGTGCTCTCAATTGATTTTCAATCAGTTGATGTGGTACCCATTTTCGCAACTTTCGAATCTTTCCCATTGCATGCAAACGTCTTGAAATGGTTTTTTGGTCGACATTTAACTCCATTGCGAGTTCTTTTTGGGTTCGGGCCGAGTTTTCATACAATAATGCTTGCAAATCTTCATTCAGCATTTGAATAGGTCTTTCAAACGACATACATGTCATTGATCTTTTACAACGCAAAAGCAAGTGGTGACATCTGATGTCAGATTCCGGAAATTAATGCCTACACCCAATAGTAGCTATTAATGTAATGCTAAAATCTAACATTACAATTGCAATAGCTGATAACGTCTCGTTTCCTATTGGCAAATGAAAAAAAAAAAACGATAAAAACGCACTGTAAATGAAATTCGAAAATAAAAAAAGAAGGAAATTAAAACTCAAATATGAATTTTATTTTATTTAATATTCCTTTTATTTACAAATGAGGTATAAATTGTGAAGAACGAAATAATACTTGATACATTTTCCGCTAATTAAAAACTCACAACTCATAAATTGAAAAAATTGTTTGAAAGATATTGTTAATTTACTGTTCATTCATATGAAATTACAGGTAAAATTGCACATGTTTATTTCATTCGTTTGATTGCTATTTTCCAGGTGAGTTCACGAAGCTCAATCCAAATTAACCGTATCTATCTCTTGTTTAGATGGATACTAATAATAAATTACTACACAAATCAATCTTAAAAATCAAACACTGTTTCGCCGTTTTATTAATCCACATTGAATAAATTATAGGTCATCTCTGTCCGCTATAAATTCTGGCTCATAATATTTGTACACCATTTTACTGGTTTCTTTTTCTTCATTTGTGAAATCTTTGGACTCGGCTTCTTTATAATTTATTTCTGTAATGAGCAATGTTGTTCTTGGTGTAAAAATTGCTTTAAAAGCATGTATTAAAAATGACGACTGAATGGAATGAAAAATGGCTAAATGTCATTAATTCTGCTATTTTCATTGAAAATGCAATGAAATGTATCCTACATCCTATGTATGTCTCATTTGCTATAGGAGGTCGTTGTTGGAATGTTTTTTTTTAAGATAAGCTTTGCTGCAAGAAGAAATTTTCAAGTGGTTGGGGTCCCTGCGCTTGAATCGGATTAGAGTTTAACCAATACTCAGATATAGAAATGTACATAGCGACAGCTACGCCAATTATAGACGCGATCCATGTGGAACTTTTGAATGTAAGACATGTTGCTATACATAAGCCTAAATAAGTAATATAACGTGTATACTTTTCCCATCGGAGTCGTCTTTCACTGGACATGTCTGAATGGAAAAATCAAAAAACACAAATTTGTTTTTTTGATCAATTACATTGATTTAGTTGACAATTCTAACAATAAGATATCCAAGCGTATTACGAAATTCATTTAGCGTAACCAAAAAAAAAACTAAAATCAACAAAACTACACGAAAAGAATAAAAGGGTAAAAATTTGCAGAAACTAATTTCAAAATGGGATTTGTTGTGGGAATGCATAAAAACAAAGGGTAGCAAAAATGTGAGAAAAAAAACTTGTAATGGTCTATCGAGTGAATACCTGTACACATTCCATCTCGGAGTTCATAACCTTCGGCACATTTGTCACACAAATCTGGACCGTCGCCAGTGCATCCTTCGCAAGCCCGGTCGCATTCTTTATAAAATAAAATATAAAATAAATGGTTGATTATTTGATAATCCAAAAACACAAACAGCACATGTAAAATGAATAATTACTGAGACAATCAAAAGATCCTTCGTTGTTGACACAAAATTCATTTGTTGAACATTTGTGAATATCGCTAAGACACTCGTCAACATCAACGCAACCATGTTCGGGTTCCATAGTCCATCCTTTTTTGCAAACGCGACAACCTTAAAAAGAAAGAATAACATTTGAATGTGTAAAGTTCATTTCAAAATTATCAATATCAAAAAATTCAATTTCGTATCTAAACAAAGTCAGATGTAGTTGCTGGTTTTCCAATGTATTTTGTAAAATTTTTAGTCTTCTACCAAATTCCAAATTCCATTTTTACACAAATATATTGTAACACCAATTGCACTGTGGATGCAGTGTAATTTCTTTGACTTTGACGACTCATTTTTTAAAATGAAATAATGATTTTGATTTGATATAAACATAAAAATAACCTTTGGCACCAGCTCCGGTACATCCAGTTTTCTTCTCACAGGCCAAATTACATTTACTACATAACATTTTTGTATCATCTCTAAACGATTCGTAATAGTCCAATGCACATTCGGCACAATTTTCACCACTGTATCCAGCATAACACGAACATTTACCATTACCTTTACGCGTGCCATTGCCCTTGCAAGCACCATTACCATTACAATCGTCACATGGCGAGCAATTTGGCCCATACGTATTCGATGGACAACACACTTTCTTATAGTTTATACATAAATAGTCATGAATATCAGGATATTGCTCTTGTTTGGTCGTAAACCATGTTGATAATTCATCTTCAATTTCTTCGAAAAATCCATAGCATTGATCTTGAGCTCGTGATACATCGCCACATACATGATCTCCGATCTCTGCAAAACGCACCTCACTTTTTGCATAAACATTTAAATTCTGCTCTTCCCATGCTGTGTCACCGCTTTCATGTTTTCCTCGTGATGTTTTTTCCATCGCCTATTCGACATTTTTTCATCGTGCGAAATTTAAAGTAAAATAATAAATGAATTTTAAAACAATCAAACATATATGAAACATACAGTTATACAATACCTTTGTGAATGATTCGACAAATGTTTTGCATAGTTTGCATGGTGGTAGTGCGACTGCCGACTGTTTTTCTGCTACTTTGACTGGGTCCAATTCAGCTTTTGTGAACACAGGTAATGTGTAACATACAATTACCACCGTAAAAAAGTGCTTCATATTCAAAAAATAAAAGTAATACTTCATTGACTATAAAATGCCGCCGTAACTATCAAATCCAATTCAAAACCTATGGAGTCGTTTTCGAAGTGACCAATTTTGTTGTTGACAAAATATTTAGTGCCGCATCACAGCTGTCACACAGATTCATATAATACATAACGCGGAATGTCAAACCCCAATAAGAAGACAACAATTCAATATGTGATAACACATCGCATGTGCTACAGCGTGGACCAATCAGAGAAATACAAATAGACGCACTGCAACTTTACACATACTCAACACCGTGAGATGGCGCTACTAATTTCTTTGAAAAATACTTTTCAAATTATTCAATGAAAAAGTCAGTAATATTCTGGAGATTAACATAAACCATTGATGTTTGTGATTTGTATAAATTTGATTTATTGACAAAAAATCTAATACAACATTCTTAAGTATAACTGAAGATATTTTCCTAAATTCGAAATAATAAATCCTGAAATCTAAAATAATAAAATAGATAATTCTTTTGCAGAATGCTTCAAAATAACAATTTTGATTTTCATTCGAATGTTAGAATTCGTGGTTGGTTATAGATGATTCGGTTGTAGACAAAATAAGTTAGAAAAGTGGAATCTCTCTTTTTTAAAATCTAAAGCGATGAGACCACTACTCCACTTACTTTGCATACACACTTTCGGACAAAAATTCGTACGTATAAAAAGAAGTGAACATTTTTGTTCGATGACCTTTATTCATACTCAAAAAGTGGGTATTTTAGATCTGACAATGATCAAATCACATCGATTTCAAAAAACAAATTTTGGTCAAAGAATGTCAACGATCTCCATATCCACCTGTTGAATATAAATTGCTTAAATCCAATCTCCGCGTTGACTTGAATACTGTTAAAATAAACTTTTCATATTTAATTTTTACTGACAACCTTTTGAATCTATTACTGTGAACTGCTCTTACCACCAACCACACACTAATAAAATTGATTAGTTCGAGTGAACTACGATTTTATATAAAATCGATAAGATTTTTTTACCTACAGATAAAGAAAACAAATATTCAAAAGTGTGAAAAGATGAGTGGTGAGCTTTATCAATCACCTCAAGTACTTAGAGCTATTTGATACACATTTTATATAATACTTTTACGCATTGCGCGTGAATATTTCGTTTATCTATTATATAGTTATGGAGTTATGATTCCCATACATCAATTTCGAAATTGAAGCCTATACTTTGAACGAAACACGAAAAATATTCACTGGAAATGGTGTAGAATGGTGGAGAATTATCGGCGAAGAAACAATTTAACACTGATCTAAATGATATTTTATTGAAAGCTGTGTTGAAAAAGTGTTGCAGACGATTTTTTTTCAAACGAAGATTACTATTATTTGTTAGTTTCAAGTGATAAGAACAATTGTTATCTTTATTCGTGCTCTCTTTTTTTATTTCATTCGTTGTCATTGTCGTCATATATTTGGTGATTTTGACAGGTGTATAGCTATTGAATTTTGACGAAGAAAAAAAAATAACTTAAACTTCTTTCGATTATAGACGATTTTAAAACAGTCAATGATTCAATTATATTTTGTTAAAGAAAAAGACTTTGAGATTATGTTGTTTGTCGACTAAAATCCGAATTTATTTGCTTCATCATTCGTTATCTTATCTCATATCTCACGACTGAAGAATGTGTTGGAAACACCTTTAGCTTCGAATATGTTATATTTAATGTATGTTTCCAAGAAATATCAATTCTCTATCATCGAAACTATTATTTTTTGTTTTGCCATTTAAAAAAATTATATTATTTCATAATTCAAACATAATAAATAATTAGACTAAAGTTGAACTCTAGGCAAAAAAAAATTAAACAAAAAAATACACAAAATTTGGTCGATAATATTTTATCAATGTTTTTTTTTTTAATTCATTTTCCTTATCGCAATGGAAAAAAAGAGGGAAAGAAGGAGGAAAGCACATTCATCATTTTCTTTCTTCGAAATATAATCAGTAAATGAACAAAAAACTGCGTGAAAGTGATAAGTTTTGTGGCGGCGCAGGTAAAAAATGCTGTCAGATCGATGCAGCACATGAACGAAATTCTCTTGATTTCCGATTAGATAAAGTGGATTCAATGCGAGAAAAAAAACTTTTATCGATTAACAAACACGTTGATTTATATATATGATTAGATAAGTGAATCTTTATTTTTTTTTTTTCGAGAAACATCATATTTAGTAAAACTGTCGAAAATTAACATAACAAATAAAAATAGAATTTTTATGAAAAAAGACGTCGAGATCCATTCAATGTTCGAAAATTTAGAATGCGACGACAATGATCTCCAATTTCATCCGCATGAGCATGAACGATCCAAACAGATGATGCTTTTGCGCCAAAAACAATTTGAACTATAGATGATTTCGTTAAGTACAAAACCTCGTGTCCTTCGGCTCGAATCTCGCCTGGAAACCTAGTCAGTTTGAAGATATAAAAATAAACGCGATATAAAGATTCGAAAAGTGTAAACATATGGTTTTATTTTTATACAAATGTTTCGCAATTAGTAATTAGATAAATTTTCAAATTTCTATGAAATATATTACCGAAAATTCCACCTAACAACAGCTCCATCACGTGGTAAATAATAATACATGTATTGATCAATGTCATCAACCATTTGCGGTATGGCTAGAGCATTGGCGGATCCTAGTAACGGTCCCAGAAATTTAACTTCAACAAATAGATCAATATTCTTCGATTGAATACTGCTGTACTTTATTTCGTTCAATTTTGCTAAAATTTATTAAATCAAAATTCATATTTTTTTTTAATCTTTATCGAAATTAAATAAAATATTTAACCACATACCAATCCACAAATTATTGTTGTAGTCCTTTACTACTAACTCATCATTATTTTTTATAGTTATTTCTGCAGCAATTAGTATATCATATGCTCCACTTTGTAATGGAATGATCAAAAATAATTTCTTTGGACGGTTGTCCGAGAGAGAATATTGAATGAGAAACTTTGATTGGTGAATCAAAATTAAAGCATATGTTGTTGCAGTTGAACTTCTTTTGACAATGGCATTATTGTTTGCATCCATATCATCTTTTATATACAGCTGAATTGATTTCAGAGCATCATTTTTAAGATCGGTAAACAAATAACGATGTATCTGCGAGAATTATAACGATAAAAAAAGGTCAAGTATTCAAATGGTGAATTAGTATCCTTACTATTTGCTTACCTACCTCAATATTTGATCTCAATAAATCAAATACAATTAATTTTGGTGTACAGTACTGGGATCCGTTATCAAGTAGCCACAAATGCCCATCTGTTCGATCGACAGCTGTTTGGATTGTCTTCACAATTCCATTGCAATCCGATTTATGTTTTGCATGAGATAACTCATTTGGAAAAATTCGAGATTGAATTGGAAGCAAATTTTCCGGCCAAGTTGATTCAATTAATGTTATATGATCTGAAGAAATTAATATGCATTGTGAAAATTAGAAAAATAATATACCTTTTCACTTACGATTTGACGAGTTTGAAAGATTTCGAATGGTCAAAAATGATCGAACATAGAACAAAGAAACGTGCACAATCTCATAGTCGTTGTTGTTGGTGGCAAATTGAAGACCACTATCATCGAATGTGGCCAAGTTCCAAGCAGATGCACCTCCAATTAAACACCAAATTATTGAAAAAAAATTCATTTTATAAGATTTCTTAAGAATTAAACCAACAAATAATTTTAACTAAATTCATAAAAATTGCATACGGTAAAAATGAAACAAAATGTTATACTGAAAGTTTATAATTGAAAGTCTAAAAGTGCACTACATTAATCTGTAGAAAAGTGCACGGCAAACCTTCATAATTTGCATAGTTGAAAAAATTGTTTTGATTCATAAAAAAAGTTGTGTTGGTTTTTAAATATGAAAATAAAAACACGGAAGTTCTTCAAAATCTGAGACGAAAAGTGTTAATGTAATATATAAAATTGAAATAATTCAATATTAATTCATTAATATGGTTTCCGCATAAATTATACCAAAAAATGTATTAAAAATTCCAACATTTTGCATTTCGTTCCATTTACTGCATTCAAATTTGTTTTGTTCAAACATGCAGCCGATTCAGCTGCATTATCGATGTATCATCAATGATGACCTGTCATTCTTATGTCAATACAGTGAAATTTCAGTGGTATAATTTATAGTAAACAAGACATGTGTTTTATTTCGCAATTGATTTCACTGATGAATTTTTTTAAAGAGCACAAAGTATAAAGTAATTGCTGAATCGTTTGCTGGATTTTTTATGAATTAAAATATTGTCAAGATGAAGAAATCTCTCATTTTGACAGATCTTAACGATGATGTTCTCTTAATAATATTTGATGAATGCACACTGGATGATTTATTAAATTTATTTCATGTATGTAAACGGTTTCAAGAGATCATTAAACAATCGACCTTCATAAGACGTAGCTTGGATTTATTGTTAGTTGGCCATCGAAATCACAATGCCGTTTCGTACACAAGGTGAGTTTAAAAGCAAGTTGGCATTCAAGAAAAAAATTAACCATTTATTGTTGTCAGACAATCAATATATTTGGATATTGTCATCCAGATATTTTAACTCATCTGACTGACGTCAGGCGTTGGAACGGAGTGAAAACAATATTAGTGATTGTTATAGCAATATTAATAACGGCACCGAACAGCATTTCTTCGCCTTGGTAATTCATTTAAAGTAAAATAAACATACATAACAGTGTGTACGAAAATTTCACACAACGTCGGTGAGAGACCAATGACATAGTGGAAATGATCCACCTTGGTCCCCTGATTACGATGGTATGTTTGATTTCTCTAGATTAGTTTTTGTCCCATACATTTTTTTTAAACTGAAAATGCTGTATGAGAAGTGTAATACCAAATGTTTATTCAAACTTTCAGAAAGTTAATTTTTTGTAAAAAAAAAAAATGATCTGAGCAAAATTTCACGTCATTCAATATCATGCATGGCTCCCATACAATAGTTAATATTTTTTGGGTTTTTCTATGAAAATTGTATTAAAAATTATTGTATCGCAAAGCTAACGCCAGATTCGGATTCCCCGTGCAAAAAAAACCCCCACTATATATTTTCAATGATAAATAATTAGAATAATTTCTTTTTTAAACACCGATTTTTGATTTTCAAAGAGAATCGTTTTTTTTTAATGTATGGGACAAAAATTAATATATAGAAACCAAATATGCCGTCGAAATCAGAGGACCAAGGTGGATCATACTCACTATATCATTGGTCTTGCACTGACCTGCTCGAGCACAGCGTAATATAATTTAAGTATATACACCAAGCAATTTTGAAAGCGACAAGTAAATGTCTTTGATTATAATTTTGAAATTTAAGTACATGCAAAAAATGCAAATATTCAATTTCATTATCATTGCAGTAGCAGTTTTTGTTTTCATCTGTTTTCTAAATCAATTATATCACTGTTTGGTATCTTTTTGGTATAAAAACCATCGAAAGTGGTAAGCATACAATCTATTGATTCAAATTTTGTGTATCGCTTCTTCTAATTGGTATATCGAAAAGCAGTCTATGATCATATTTCAGAAGTCTGTAACTGTTTCAAGACATTTTTGACAGTGTCGACTCTATTCTTTTGCACATATTGTGGATTCCAAATTTCTGCACCATACTCGATGATTGGTTACTCAAATGTACAATAAAGAATAGCCGTAGAATTTTAGCCAAGCCAATCTTAATTTGGCCTTAGCTGCAACATATAATGAAAGTATTTTTATACATATAACAATCACTTCGGTTATTGTCGCTCCATTCAGGGCCTGACATCAGTCAGATGAGCTGAAATATGTGGACACAGCTGGGCAGACTGAAAAATTTGGACAAAAGTCCATTCTGTCTAGTGCAAACACCTTCTCAGAAAGAGTAAATTTGTAAAGGGGTAATTGAAATTTCCCCCTGTCTACCCAGCTAGGTATCTGGATGATTATTTATTTGACTCGAAAACCACCACCACAATGGATCAAATGTTCAATTCATGTTTTCTTCTTGTTTTACCACACAGAACGATACAAAATCTCTCATATCATAGACGAGTGAAAATTTTCCAAAACTGGTGCTATGGACGTTACGAAGAACATATTTTATTTCAACAATCACAATTTAATCCGTCAAAGATAATTCTAGAAAAAGAATTTTTATTCAAATCACATAGTGGACAATTGAGAAAATATACAAGATCAAAACGAAAAGGTGAAATATTGTATCGACGACCTACTAATACATACGGTGAAGTTCGAGATGCTGACATTACATGTTTGACAAAAAGTGGTGAATCGGTGGTGATTGGTCGTAGGAATGGTCGAATTAAATTGATTTCAATGGATAATAATGAAAATGATCCAATCGAAGAGATCAATGTTAGCTTAAACGAATTTTCAGAGCACCGTGTTGAATCGGTCGATGTTAGGAACGATCTGTACGCAACTGCAACACTGCAAAGAGTTTCTTTGTGGCAAAAACGTTACGAACTTGACATACCATATTTGGATACAGTGGCAGAATTGGGTGCTGGCGTCAAAACTATTCGTTTCTCACCCAATGTTGATAAAATTGCAATGGGTAAGGGTTTGATTATTTTCATTTTTCCATCATTATTTTTATAATATTTCATTATTTTCTATGCTATAGGTAAATACAAAGATACATCTCGGCAAGCACTTCATTTAGTAGATTTATCGACGTGAGTAATAAATGAAGCAAATAAATCCAATTCATCCAATCATTACTTTTCCATGTATGTATTTTCCAGGAACGAAGTGCACCCATTAGCATCAGATTCAGCCTCCATATATGATCTTCAATGGAAAGACAACAATGTAATCCTAAGCGGACATTATGATACAACCTTTCGGCTATTTGACTTGAGAACAAACTGTGACGAACACATTTGGGTGAATTTAATTAGTTATTTATTCCTTTCTTGCGCTGTTCACCATATCGCCACTACTACTACTAAAATGGGACAAATTTTCGTTTTATTTTTGGAAGTCACTTTTTGACGCGAAAATCTCTAGCAACTCGGATTCTTTCTCCGCGAAAAATCCTAGGCAAATTGAAAGATCAATTTTCTACATTGATGAGCTAAAAAAGGTCTTCACTTTTTGAATCAAAACCTCCAATTTTTCAGCAAACTATTTGCTATTGCGACTTCAGATCATTTGCAAATTGTTCTTAATTTAAGATTTATTTTCATTTATGTGTGTGTGATCAAACCCTATAGGCTGTTATATTCTAAATAGTTTTTGATATTGTGGTTATTTCAATTGGACATTTTAGGTGGACCCATATGATTTGGCTGTTTATTCTGTCTCATATGATGGAAATTTTGGCGTTTTGTGTGGCATGAAGTATCATTGTCGTGTCAATTTGTATGACTTGCGTGTGCCAAACAAGTATATCCAACTATATTTTCCGAGACAACGTTTTCGTGGTGCCAAAAGCTTTAGTTCTCCAGCATACCAAGTAGTCAATGATCAAAGCCAACTATTTATCTCAACTGATTATAATTTGCGAGTATTGGATTTCGACGCTGATTGGGCTGCGACAAAAGACTATACAAACATTTTTGTGCATGAAATGATCGTTAATTTATAGCGCAATTGTACTGCTTCGGTATATATATTTTTCAAAAAATTATTGGTATACCTCAATTTATTGTAAACGTATTGAAGAGGACCGTTCAGAAAAAATGTATGAAAAGTCTATGGAATGAATAAAACTATGTTTTTGTTACAATTTGCATTTGATTTTTATTTAAAATTAATTTACATCTAATGATGTTGTGATGTGATGATGTGGATTCTTCATCTTCATCATCGTCTTCTGTTACACAGAAACAAGCATTCGAGTACGCTTACTCGCACTTGCGGTGTTAGTAGAGGCTTTACCCCTCAAAATGAGTTACGCACTCTATTTAACTCTATACGCGTACTCGAATACTTGTTTCTGTGTAGAATAAAAATAGTAATATGACTACATTTCTTAAAATGAATTAAAAAAATCTATTTGCGCCAATAAACAGGATTGTATTTGCACATTTTTTAATACATTTGTTCCCCAATAGATAAGAACTAGTGTACAAAACTTTAAGAGTCCATATATTTCTGACATATATGAAATTTTGACTCCAAATTTTACATGGCGGTATATATAAATTAAGCAATTTCTTACCTGAGCCAGTTTCAACATTGTATATCATATATATCATTGGATCATTAGAAGAAGGATGAAAGAATATAATACAACTCAATTTAGCAAATTTGTAATATTTTATTTTATGTATTTTGATTGAAAGACAATAATTTTCTACTATTTATTATTATCACTTTATTATTATTATTGTCTTTCAATTATTTTTTACAAAACCAATTTCATGAACATAATTATGTCTTTTTTTAATTGACCGTGCCTGGTTAAGGCTTAAAAATATATTTTTTATTATAAAAATGAATGTATACAATGAAGAGAATGGATACAATGGATAAAATTTTTACAATAAAATGACAGTGTTCAAGTTTTGTTATTAATTGTGTGTTTTGTATATTGTTATTGTTGATGTTAATATTATTATGATATTTGTTATTTTTGGGCTAAATGATTTTAATTGTTATTTAGAAGTTTTACACTTGTGGAATGTGTGACGTTGAATGTCCTATTGCCTAGCGCTTCTAACGTAAAATTGACAGTATCACGGGCAATCTCACTCACTGAAGCTGAAGAATCACGGGAAATCTGACTAATTCGAGTTGAGAGAATATAAATGCCAAAACAAATCGAAGCAAAAATAATCAGGAAACGGATGCACCAATAAACTCCAGAACGATGTGGCTTGAGAATTGATTTGAGAGTTGCTTGTTGTGCTGGTTCAGTGTTTTTGATAACAACTTCAATTGGTTCAGTAGTTTTAATTTCTGTAAATCTACCCCGAAACGGTATATCCTCTCTTTCTGGACTTCCGTTCCCTGAGGAAGCCATTTGTTTTTTCCTCAATACAATTTTAATAGTGCGATATTATTGCACTTTGCGAATTAAAAGTCAATATTTAGTTTATTTGTATCGATTCAATCAAAGATTATCCGTAAAAATCATCTAACGCTTTAATCTGTTACATTTCTGTTACCACCCCCCCCCCCCCCATGGTTTGGATGGGAAATTTTTTTTCGCGAAAATTATTCGAATTTGCTAGGGTTTTTCATGAAAAAAGTGAAGACCTTTTTTTTTTTAGCTCATCAATGTAGAAAATTGAGGAGAATTCTTTCAATTTGCTAGGGTTTTTGGTTCCGAGAGATTTTTTTCCGATTTGGTAGGGTTTTTCGCGGAGAAAATTCTTTCGATTTGCTAGGGATTTTCGCCTCAAAAAGTGACTTCCAAAAAAAAAAAAAAAACGAAAATTTGTCTGATTTGCTAGAGAATTTTTTGTTTTGAAAAATGAGAGAAAAATAAAGTCCAATGATGTATTTTTTACTACAATTTTTATTCAATACCATTGGGTTAATAAAGCATTTTTAACAAAAATTAAAAACTGATTCGATCACAAAATTTGACAAAGAGGACATTTTAATTATAATAAAACATTTTTGTCATATTACATCAATATTTAAGGTTTATTCAATAATTTCGTTTTTATGATTTCCAATAAATCAGTAAGCATCAGAATTTGTTCATTGCATTGGTCCAGCCATTCTGAATCATTTGCTGCCTTGATACAACCCTTTGAATACGAAATAATTGTTAGTCCGTTTGTACTTTAAACTTGAATTAATTTTAAAACGTTCAACATATTATTTCAAAAAAAAAAAATCACCTGAGTTGTAAGCCGAGCAGACGATAGCTGTGATACTGCTGTTGTTTTAAGGTTATCTTCCACTTCTTCATATGCTTTCAAACTTGACTCGCACAAATCATTGCAAAGTCCTAAAACTTGAAGCGTCCCCTCCGATGTTTTTGTCCACGCATTTTTTCCCTATAAAAAAAAAAAACTAAAATTTAAACACAATTCAAACGACAAGTAAATTATATTTTATATAGTCACCTGTGTATATGCACGATAGGCTTTTTGTAATTTCTGCGCTTTTTGAAGTGGTTCTTTGTCGAACAGTTTGGCAGAAAGCTCAAATACCACACCTTCTGTCGGATACTGCACACATAATTGTGCTAGAAGATTCTGTGCTTTTTTCAGAAGACGTTCACTGGGGCGACCTAAAGTATGTCGATTTTAAGAAAATATTCCTATGGAAATGACAATAATTGTATACCTTGTGAGTCTGGTGTGTTTTGAAGTATTGCATTTACTGTAATCGTCAAAACTTCTTTGTCTAAATATTTTGATTTCAATTCTCCAAGTCGATGATGTGCATTTAATACATCTTCAAAATTGCCCGTGTCCAACGATACAATGAGAAAATTTTCCCATACTTTCCAGTTATCGTAGTTACATCTTAATGCTTCAGCCAGAACTTTGTGCGCACGTTGTTTGTCACCCAAATTCAGATATGCTTTAGCTAAATTGTTCCAACATTCAAAGCCGTTCGGTTCAATATGTGTATAGTGTCGATACGCTTTTGCAGCCAATTCCCACCGTTCAAGTGACAATGCTGAATAACCAAGTCTTGACCAAACCGATTCTTGCAGTGAATTAATGGCAACTGATTGTTCCAAGTGTGGAATGGCCTCTTCGAATTGCTTTCTAGCAAAATAATATGAGCCGAGATGACGCTGAGCACGACCACTTCTTTTATTTGAAAATTCCCATGCTCTTTCATACCATGTTTTATCATCTAATGAATCACCCAACATGCAATACAATTCAACGGTTTCCTTCTTTTTCAATTCGTTTTGAATCACTTCAGCCGCCTGCATAAAGTTATTATTATGAATCAGCAGATTGTTTTTTCTTCTATTTTAATTTTTTCTCACCTTATGCTTGAGTTCCAACATATTGTAACACATAATTACAGCATCCCATTTCTCAATATCGAGATAAATATCCAGAGCAGTTTTAACAAAGCCCAAGCTAACCAATAAGTCTGCTAGTTGTGTACGAATTATCCAATGTGGACGCATATAAGATGTATACACAAACGATAAACTGCAAATATATCAAAAAGATTCAAATGGATTTCATTCTTACAACGTTTTTTTTTCTTTTCATAAAAATATATTCAAGAGAGATAAAGTTACCGATGAAAATTGCTTGTGGAATCTGATTTCGTTACTAATTTATAAATCTCTTCACATTGTTTTAAGCTTCTTTCGACGGTGCGTTTGTGTGTAGCTTCCATTATGATATTTTCAAACAAAACCGATATACGAATGGACCACGGCCCTTGTTCTTGATACATTAATGTCATTAAATAAGGCATAAGCTCTTCGTTAGCCAATTTATCTTTGGGCTGTGATTTTTGGATGTAATTACTGTAAATAAAAGAGTATAATAATAATAATATTTTATTTCATTTTCATCGAATACTACGGAACTTACTAAGTGCTTAGTATTAAAGCTTGAACTATGCTTTTTGTCCTCGTGATTATGTTGTCCTCTTCATTGATAAATTGAATTTTTTCTAATCGCGTATCATCGTCCAATTGCAAAAGTGCTGGAAGTTTGGCTGGCGCAATGGGAGACTCAATGGATGGTATAACGACAATATCACCATTTGGTGAATCTACACGCAACATCAACTGTGGTACTGGTTTTTGTTGGTATTTCGTTCGAACACCCAATTTTCCTTCGATTGTAATGTTCACATCGAGCAATTGTTGAGCCATTTGTAACTTTTCTTTAGCGGTAAATATTCGTTTGAAGTGTAACTGCCATGCAGAAATTTCCAAAAGACAAATCACCTTTGAATCTTTATCAATATTCTCAACGGTGTTCACATTTTCAACTAAACTATTTGAAACTTTGTTAATACCATTAAAAAACGTATCAGTATATTCGTCAATCACTAATTGGTGTACACCATAATAACGTAAGAGCCAATTTTGATAAATAAATTGGTCAATTGATTCATCACTTATCCTTTCACCAATATGCAAAAGAATAAATTTTGCCACCGCCAACAATTCGGGATGATTCACATTTGTGTTGATTTCTTCACCGTCTGATATTAAATAATTTCGCACTGAGTCATTGCCAATGCGTTGAATATCGGAATGCCATGACAATTCTTTGAACTTGTCGTCTTCGTTAAGCAATGGCCCAACAAAATTATCTTGAACAAATGCTTGAAGGGCTGATATGGCCAGACATAGCATTTCTTCAACACTTTTTGCTGTAAAATCGATGTCAGTGAAGTTCCGCACAATAATTTGAGCAAAAATGTCATTATTTAAAGTTTCAGACCAATTACATTCCCATAATGCTTTTAAACTTGGTGTCCAATCTAAAATATAAACATGTATGAATTGAATCAATGATTTCGTACGAAAAAACTCAAATTTTTCATATATTACCATCAGTACAAATGTTCGTTGAATAATTACAAAGCCAATGTTGATTAAGTGCCATTTTATTCGTATTTCAAAAAAATTAGATTTGAATCACTGAAAAATCCTCATAAAACTTAATTTTATTTCAAAAAAAAAAAACGATTTCAAAATCTGCAAAATAATGTGCTTGAAATGGTATCTGTCTATTGGTATTTATGAGTGATGAACCACAGTAAACATGTTGTTATAGGTTATGTGTCCTTGTTCATGTTATCTATCAACATTTCTTTCATATGGTTTGAGGTATTGTCATTCAGCTATCATTTTTGACTTGCTGACTTATTCGATTCAGCGCATATTTTAGCTTCTTCCATAATATAAAATGCGTTATAAATTTCAAGAAAAACAACAGAATATTCAAAGTTTTCATATCTTTTTATTGTTATTATGAATGTCAAGATTAATAATAGGAAACTAAAAAGTTATATCTCCGAGAAACTTTTGGGTTTTTCTTCTTGAACTATTTAAAAGTATTACGGCCATATAGAATGTTATACATACCCTAGAGTTGATCAGAAGAAAAGAATGGAAAAAATGGAAATTAATCAATGCGTAATCATAGGTGATGACGAGGGTTCCTAGGGGTCGGATGACCCCCCTAAAATATTTTTAGGAACCCTCAACAATTTTGGAAATGTGGACCTTTTTTTTGCTCTTCACTTTTTTTGGCCGAGAAAATTCTTTCGATTTGCTAGGGATTTTTACCTCAAAAAGTGACTTCCAAAAAAAAAAAAACGATTTTTGTGTCATTTTTGGATTTGCAAGGTAATTTGAAGTAGGAAAATTCTTTCGATTTGCTAGGGATTTTCGCCAAAAAAGTGACTTTCAAAAAAAAAAAAACGATTTTATCCTCATTTCGTACAAATTGTTGACATCGTCAGGGACCCCCCATGCATTTTTCCAGGAACCCCCTACAGAATTTTGCCATCACCCCCCCCCTAAAATTTTTTACGTCATCATCTATGATGCGTAATGGATCGGAATGGAAAATGAATCAAAGGAATGGATCAGGAATTGTAGAGTAATGGAATTATACATACCGCAACCAATTTTCGCATTAAAAGTCCATTTTATTGCATATAAGTATGTGTATTTTTATGTTCGTTTGTTCTTTCTTTTCTTTTCAGATGCTGGAAGACATGAAAAGATGGCAGTACACGTAATTATTTTTATCGTAAAATTAAGAAAAAAACAGTTGTTACCACTGAGGTGGAAAATAAAAAATAAGAATTATGTTAAACCATTGGTAATCGATAGCTTCAAAAAATGATCAAATTTGACGAAACCGAGAAATGAGTGAATTATTCAGTGTATTTTTCTGAACGATATGAATCTTTAATTTTATTTCTTACCATTAAATAATCTAAATATAGTAAATAGTTCTTTTTTCAGTGTTTTCTTGTTCATCTCTTTAAAAAGATATTCCTTTGAAATCTTTTCCGTATCTAATATCATATAATCTTTCTGTTTTTCTCTTTTCTTCTACTTTCATTTTCACTTTGTAATTTGTTTCAACATCCTTTTTAACAAACATAATTTTTAATGGTTAACAATTCGTGTTTGTAATCATTCTCTTCAATATTTTTTCATTTTAGACTTGTTTTCAATGGTATAATGATCGCTCTACGTTTGCGTGTAAACAAAAAGCTAAAGTAATCGAAATAAATTTTTTTAATATTTATTAAACATTAAATGTAAAAAAAACGCATCATAATCTATATATAAAGAGCGAATTAAATTTTCTTTTCTATGCCGCAATAATATTATACTGTATAGTATGATTTGTAGTTGCTTTATATCCATTATTTCCAATTATTTACAGCGAAAAATATTTTAGAAATTGCGAAGGAGAAACTGGTTGAAATTCATTAATAATATTATCGCCTCCGGCCGCCTCTTTCAATCGAGCTCGATAGTCGGGCGACTGATCTGCGATGCATGGATGACCTGTGAATTTATTTTTCATTGATTTGAAATATTTTTAAGTGATTGAAATATGTGAAAGATAATCCTACCTGCAGACGGCCAAAATAAACAGCAGCAAAATCTGCATAAAGCCAAAATCTCTGAATACTGATAATCTTCTCTTATTCCATATTTTCTTTAATAAAAGGCAAAGATTTTCATTCCGAAAATTAATAATAAAATCATTTATATTATTAAAATGTTAGTTTATTACCTTCTGAGTGCATGATATATTTTCTGCCAATCTTTAGTATTATTTGGACGCTTCGATGTATTATTCACCAAAATATTCATACTATTCGAATTGATATCGTTGCGTGTATTGCTCGAATTTGCATTTTGATTACTGCTATTTGTGATGCTGTTGTTTCTATCGGCATTATTTGCATTTGTAGTGAATTGATTCTGGATAAATTGATCGATTTGCTGTTTGGTGAAATGGAATTGAGTCAATTCACGCCAAACGCGTTGTTCCGATGCGAGGGCCGCCATAATTGTCCAGGCAGCCGATGAAGCTTCCAAATCTTGATGATCATTGATGCGTAAAATAATTTCACGAACACACTCTTCTGGTAAGTCTTGTAATTTTGGAAAAACATCTGGACCCGGCTGCAAGTAAAATTTCAATTTATTATCCACTGACATGAGACAAAGATCAATTTGTACCTCTTTGATTTTGATTTGTGTGGCCATATCTTGTATCCGTTGAATGGTTTCGACATGACCTTTCCATAAAATTTCGCTGCCCAATGGTTTTCCCCAACATTTTTGATTTTCTTGATTGACAATTTTTTGCAATTGCATCGCTAGTCCTCTGAGTATGTTGATGTTTTGTTGACTATCGCTGACTAAAATTTAGAAACATTTATTTATTATTTTGATATATTGAATTCATTTTGACTGGGATTAATTAAAAATTACCATGCGCGGCAACTTCTTCGAGCATTTGTAATAACATTCGCTGTGCACTTCCAGGCAAACTGGCAATCCCTTTGTTTGAAACAAGTAAACGAAGTAGTGAACAGACATATTGAAACCTTCGCCGATCACGAACCGATGAACGAAAATCTAGACGTTTCACTGCTTCGCCGAGTCCATTGAAACCAGCTATTTCACGTGTACACCGAATTGTTATATGGCAATGAGGAGGAATTTCAGTTTCAGTGTCATCTCCAAGGCTATTAGATGCATTCAACCTGCAGAGATAAATGAATAAAATTAACAAGATTATATCAATGAAGATTACACTTATTTTATTTTAAAAAAAATCAATTGAAAATGAAAATGCCTTCAAAATTTTATGTTTTCAGAAAACTGTTTATATATGTATATATCCATTCCCTTTTTAAATGTTTCGTTTTGCACTCTCTGTGAGCAGCCGTTCATTTCAACGCATTTTTGTCTATTTTTGGAATAAATTTTGTCTCTTTGCTCTGCTCTATTTTTAATTCGAACTCACTTCCTATGTATATGAGTTTTGTGTAACTATGAATAACTCCAAAACGGGAAATATCTTTGGAATTAATTACCGATATTTTGAATTCTTTCGCTTTGTGATTTACGGTAAATATATCCTAAAACTAACTATAGTTTGTATACAAACGATAAACTCTCGTATTTCAACTTACCAACTTTCACTCGTATCACAAGGTTCACTACTGCATCTGTGGATTTGATAAAGAAAACACACATTTTGAGATAAATATAGATTTGCGGCTAAAAATAGTTATAGTCTTTCCAACAAATGAAGAAAAAATAATGAACATTTCAACAGTAAATATTGGATTCTTAAAATGATTGAAATAAACTTTATACATGATAATACAAAAATGTATGTGAAAACGGTTCTAAATAGATCTGTCCATTTTGGGTAGAGGATGAAGAACATAATTTCTGTTAATTTTTTTACATTATATAAGATTAAGATTGCACAATGTTTCAAGCAATATTACATGCCCACATCCGTGTAACGCAATAGCAAGCGTTTTATTTTTATTATGTGTATATGGAATTACGAAACGATTAGCAACGTTTAAAGCTAACTTCCTTTTTTTGAATATTTATAATGAAATTTAAGGTCGCTTTTAAATGATATGACTCGCCCTCTAATAAAAGTCAAAACAAGTAAATAAAGAGAAGCAAAAAATTCTAGCAGGATATGACTCCTTAAACCATTTTTATTCTTAGCATTACAATTAGTTAAATTTCTCCAATAACAATGTATTCACCAGCATATCTGCAAACATTTGAAAGAGTTTGTTAGGAAAATTTAATCAATGGTATGGATTAGATTTCAATCAATGTATATACAAATGTAGTCATGAAAATTGAACACTCGCTTGTGCTACATATAAGGAAATATAGTTTTAGCACTTCTATTTTCAACATTTTCAAAAAGGAGAGACGTTGAGGATTCGCATATACACTGACAGTATTTGTCGTAGGGCTTAATGTAAAACGTGGGACCGTACTACTCAGAAAAACTAACTACTCGACACCCATATTTTGAATTTTTAAGTGAAGAGCCACACATTTTTTTTTAAATAAATTACTCATTGAAAATTGACTTTGCCAATATTTTCCTCATACACCTTGAAAGTTTAATTTGCAAATATTTTCATTTATTTGGCGCTCATATGGCCCATTTATTTGTAATTTCCACGGCAGGATCTTCACCCCCTCTAACTCAAATGGGCACACGTATTTCTTCCCATGAAAGTTACGCATATCATTGGCATATAATTTTTCTTCCCCGAATACCCCAATTCAAAGGGTGGGGATAAATTTTTTATATTGTTCTGACTCTGGCCCTGATCCCACTTTGGCATGTTTTCACTTTTCGACCCAAATTGAAGGTACAAGTAAGAAGGAGTGAATTTTAGGTCAAGTGAGATTGAAATGTGTACATCCTATGGGGAACCGAATATGCAAGTTATTCTGGGGTTAGATGGGGATATGGACTCAATTTCGTGGTATTTTTGGAAATATTCAATTTTCATGTAGAAAAATCCAATAATTTAGTTCCACAGTGTACACAATAAAGTCTCAATTTCATAAAAAAATCCGTAAAAATTAATTCTTATTGGATATTTACTATTCCTATAGAACTTCGCATGTATGCTTAATGAAATCCACTACGTTTCACATTCAGCAACATTGTGCAATGTTTCACCTTGACAATTTCCATCGACGCGCCAACGACCATTTATATACTTGGAGTTACTTTAAAAAATGGGACAATAATTGGGTCAGAAGTTCATACATGATGTGATTGAATATGATATAATTTTTGTCTCCACTATATTTAACATAAGTGGGACATTGCGTACTACTCAAAACTAAAGTTGTATACATAAAGCAGCCAAAACCTCGTAGATGGTCTAGATAAAAAAAAATTATTCACAAATTACATACGACTAAATTTGAAATCATTTTTCAAAAAAAAAATCTAGTAGAAATTCATTCTAGTGGAAGTTCGACAACCATATTTCCACATCCATGGCTGCATGGCATGACATAAGTTCATGTGAAATTGGAAAATAGATAATAAATCTGACAAATGAATGCAAAGGGGTGAATAAAAAACCACACTTTTTTGTTAGCCAAACGTATAGATCCATGTGACGGTATTCTCTGCGTAATTCTACTGTTAGTTAACATATAACATTACCAAGAAACTGGAAATCAATGATCATTTTTGGATTGATAAATATATTTTGAGAAAAAGTAAATACAAAATTGCAAAATTGCAATAATTTGCATATTCAATAGTTATTTCTATTCAGTCATTTTTTTTTGGTGGTTTCACTCTTTTCCCTTGGCAAATATACAAATAATATTGTGAACAACCATTGAAACATAAATTAGAAATGAGATTGACCGGGCCCAGAAGCCCTGAAGAAGTACGTTTGTCTTTGTTTAATTATTAATTATTATATATCATTACGAGATTCAAACATAACACATTGTTTTTGTGTATTACACTTTTCTTTCGTAACGTTTTCTATTTCTCCTACTCTCTTTCTTTTTCGCTTGTATATGTGAAATTTTCATACAGTGAGTGTGCAACATGATTATATACGTACATTAGCGCTACAATCAATTCGTTGTTCAACAAGTACATCTAAGCGTATAGAATGTTAAATAACATTGAATATTTTGATACTTTTCATATAAAATTTGTTCAAAAAGTTTATATATTTTTTCGCATACTGCGTGCTAATTTTACGCTGTTAAACACAGTTTGACTTTAATTGAAGAATGTGTCAAATTCGAATTACTTCAAAATTAGAAAAAAAGAGAATTGAACCCATTGGAAATTTCCACCAATTGTATCTGTAGCTAATTCGAAAGTACTTTGCTAAAAAAAAACTGAAAGTTAACTGCTATGGCTCTAGTAAGCACACATACACCATGCACATAACGTAGTGTAGTTGAAAAAAAATTCAAAATGATTTGGCCATGGTAATTGCATTGCCCCTATATAATCTATTGGGTATATTTTGTATTCGGCGTGAACTGAAATGAGTCATATGTTTGTTGCTGATGATCTGCTGTACGTTGCATCCACCAAATAGATAAAGAGAGAATCCTTTGTTGTTCGTTTATAGCACAGATTGTGTATTTTCTCATTCGGTTTGCAATATTACTTGAATGTTACAGATGTGTGCGCGAGCGCATTCTATTGTAAACAAAACTCAGCTGATTTTTTTGTTCTGTTTATGTCATAACTCTCTCACTAATATTGTAATTGGTTGATTCGTGGTGTAATTTATTGATGCGCAGTTATTGTATGTTATTTAAAATGAAGAAGATAGTATAACTCAGCTATATATCATACATTTCGTTTTGAACTTAAATCAATGAATCCAAAATCGCAAGGCATCAATAAGTCAAAAATGATGAGCAAAAAACACGGGAAATTTTTTTTTGAAGTGGAAAACAAAATATACGTCAATAAAACACACATCTGATGAAAGACTTCAGTGTTTTCGACTTAATAAAAGTGACCAACATTATATTAACCAGTCACAGAGTTTTGTAATTTACCTATTGAAAATGCTCAAAAGTTATTGTATTTGTTGAAATTACGACGTAAAAAAATTTGCTCGCGCTTACCATTGTGCATATTGTCAACATGTGTGTGTTAATGCATATGGGATTCGTAAATTCATTTACAGCGCATACACACAAACATACACATGCAAACGTCAAGACAGCAAAAAAAAAACGCGTGTAGTCGCGTGTCTTGTATTCGAGAGAGTTTATTTTTATTTACTGTTTTCTATTTTTCGTTCGCTTCTTTCTATTTTCTACAACATCTTTATTGTCGTCGACGTTCATTGCGCGAAGCAAACAAAGGAATTGCGTTCCAAACTAAAACATATGCAAACTTTTACTGATTTTTTTCTTTTTGTTTGATGTTCTTTATTGGTTTTTTTTTTGTAGGATGTATTATTATTAATATTTTTTGGGTTTATGAACCTGTATAAATAGAAATAATGACAACTCATCAGCTGCGATTACTTTGAATATATATAAAAGGTTTATCCGCTGTAGTACAACGGCTCTTAAGATCAAAATTTTAGATTTCGATGGGGTAATACAATATATTTTTCTATTTTTGATTATTGATGGAATTCATGCCTACCTCTTACGTTTACCACATTCCAACACTTTTAACTTTTCCCATCCATCATCGGTTTTAACCCAAGCTTCGCCAGGTGATCGCCAATCTTTCGAAATGAATGGCATTTTTTTATTTTTTTGTGTAAAACTGAACCTTATCTATTTGGTTCAAGCCCCGTATTCAAATGTAATCCGTTTCTCTTTTTGTTGTTTTTATATTATTCCAATTTATACTTGAGTAAGAATCACAATTAATCACAAAATTTTATGTCTCACAACAAACAATTTCTCGGCAAATAATCACAATTTCGATGGAGTACAATATGTGTACAATTCTCGATGTACTTTTACTAAAAAATTGTATGTATTAAAATGTATATCTAGCACAGTTTGTGTCACGGCAATAAATGCACAATGTTGTTGCAGAGAAAAAGAAGAAAACCAGAGTATTAAATAATCAACAGCCCCTATGAACTCAAAAATTGTTGGAAATTCTCATTCTTGTGGCACCATATTTTCAGTTTTGTGACAGTCCCGTTTTTTTTTTACAAAATTGGATAAAGTTCGTGTTCCAATTTGGTAAATTTTTCTTCGTCAATTTTTTTTAGTCTTGGCAAGCAGATAGAAATGAGACCAGCTTTCCTCACGAACGCAGATTTCAATCTATATTAAATTATTATCTATTTGGTTTTTGGACACTGAATTCATAAAAGCTCTGTACGATATACTTTTTGATAGCGTTTTATGGTGTTATTGGTGTGTTCTTTGGACGTCGTATTCTTCAATGTTATTTATTTTATGTGAAATGAAATTTCCTGAGTTGTGTTGTTTATATTCTGCACGCTACTATGAAACACCAATTAAATATCCACACAAAACGATGTCACATTGAATACTGTGCAACACTCAAATCTAAAACCATATGTAAGGTACACATAGCACATAGTACAATAACAGTACGATGATTCCGTTTTGTATACATACAAAGCGTTTTCGAATAAGAATCCAACCAAATTAAAATCTCGTGTATGCGCAGCAGCAGCAACAGCTTTTCACTCACTCATTTACAATTGGATTGCCAGTGAGAAAAAAATAACAACAGTATAAACACACCGAAGCAATGTAATACTGCAATTTGAGTGAAATGTTGGAGAAGAAGCAGCAATAATAACAACAATAAAACAATCAGATCATTGTGTGTAGTGTGCGCATGTTAGTGAGTATGTGTATATGTGTGGGTATAATAATATGCTGTTTCGAATACACACAAACAGCGACGACGACTGCTTGTTAGAGCAATGTTCATCAATTAACAGCTGTTTGAAATAATAACACTGGTCATCGTTATCTTGAAAGTGAATGAATTGAGTTGTGTCGATACATATATCATTCTATTTTCTCCAAAAAATGGCATATCTATGGAAACGACTTATTTTTTTCACTTTTAAGATAAATTACTGAATTTCTCTTGCCTTTGGGTCTTGAAATGCGATTCAACTATTTAAAAGATTTTGGTGACAACAAAATAAAAACAATATAATTTTCAATTACTTCGATTTAAATACTATATTTGTATTCCATTAAAAGGAAAGTTGATTCAAAATTAAATAAAAACAAACAAAAAACTTAACGTCCCAAAAAATTGAATCAACCTTTTCCATAATCGGATATTTCGTTAAATAAAATCCAAAATTCTACGCAGATTTGGAGCAGTGATCATTGATTTAATCTCATTGTAAATAAATTCATTTAAATTATTTGTGCGCCAATATGCATATAAATTCGTTCTATTCAGCACCGTTGTTATTCAGCAACATCGTCATTACATAATATCATTGAAATACGAAGTGGAGACCTAACCTCAAATTGACTCATGCTCATATTTTACTGTCAAAAAAGACTAAATTACCGCAATAACATCATTTGTGCTAAGTGGATTTTCCATTTACATGCCAATTGGCGTTGAACAAAAATTATAACAATCAATAAATTGATTTCGAAATGTCTGGAGGATTCAAAATAACAAATCCAAGTGAAGGACCAAAACTATCAGCAGCCCAAATTGCGTTCATGAAATTGACTGAACAAGAAAATTTGAAGCGCGTTAAAAAATTGGAAGCCATTCGCAAACGAAATTGGATAACCGGCTGGACATTGGGTTTTTGCGTGCTCAGCATCTACGGATATACAATTCTTACAGTCAAACAAGAAAGATTCTTGGACGATTTTGAAGAACCAAAAAAAATTATTGTAAAAAAGCCAGAATAAACCATTTCGGTAAGCCGTATGTCCATTGATATATACATTGTATCTAACAATGATTTATAACTATTTCAGTTCACACCACTTCACACCACAATTTAATTTTATAAGCTATATTTGAGTTTACCGAAGAAAAAAACTTGATTGACTTAAGGAATAAAACAAAAACTTATTGAAAATGGCATCACGATTTCCAAGATATAATGCTTTAATTGTAAAACCGGGATCAGGTTCTCGACTACCACCAATGCCAACAATTCGAGATGTTATAAAAATGTATAAACTACGAGCGATGAAACAGTTGTCACAAAATTTTCTAATGGATGAACGATTGACAGGGCGAATTGTTCGTATGTGCGGAGATATATCCGACCAACATGTGCTTGAAGTTGGACCGGGACCTGGAAGTATAACACGATCAATATTACGACGTGGCCCAAAGCAATTGGCTGTCGTTGAAAAAGATCGACGCTTCATGCCGACAATGGAACTACTTGCCAATTCCGTTAGGCCATCGATTCAAATGGATATTTATCGTGATGACATCTTGAAATTTCGCATTGAAAACGCATTTCCATCAAATATTTGTTGTGAATGGAATGGCAACCGACCACCAGTTCACATAATTGGTAATTTACCATTTGCTATTTCAACTCGATTGTTAGTCAATTGGCTTAAAGATATTAGTTTGCGACAAGGAGCATGGGTTTACGGGCGCACTGCAATGGTGCTCACTTTTCAGAAAGAGGTTGGCGAACGTATAGTGGCACCAATTTCAGATGACCAACGGTGTCGTCTATCCGTTATGTCACAAATTTGGACTAAACCAGAACTGCGATTTATAATTCCCGGAACTGCATTTGTTCCGAAACCAGAAGTTGATGTAGCCGTTGTTAGACTTGAACCTCTGAAGGAACCATTAACTACATTACCATTTGATTTGGTGGAAAAAATTATGCGCTATCTATTTTCGATGCGTTCAAAGGAAATAAAGAAGGCCGTTTCGAATCTATATCCAAACGAATTGTGCAAGGAACTAACAACGCAAACGTTTGCACAAGCTGGTGTAAGTCCACTAGCCAAATGCTTTGAACTATCTAACGAGGAATGTTTACGCATAGCCAGCGCCTATAATGACATCATAAAAGAATATCCAAATGTTGCAAATTATAACTATAGAGCTCCTAAAGTGAAAGCCTTCAATGTCGGAATGCTTCAACAAAGTGATATTTCCGGTGAAGATGATGCAGTGGACAAAGAATCTGATGTCAATTACAATATTCCGCATGAGCATCCTTATGATGATTATACTAAATATTGAGATAAAACTAATAAAATATCCTGAAGTCAACACCGTTTTTTTTTGGAAAACTTGAATTTGTAGTATCATTATTATTTAGAAATTTATTTGTGAGAAAATTAATATGAATAAAATTAAATATGAAAAAGATAACAATTCTACTGAATAAAATTATTGGATCGATGCATATTAATCTTAGAACAATCAATAAAGTATAAATGGACTTATGTTTTTTGGTCGTAGGTGTATTCATCATTAATCTGTCTAATAGCTGCCACAATTGATCCACTTTTGAACTGAAGTTATTTTGGTGGAATTTGCGTAAAAAATAGAATTCATTTCCAATACAATTTGTTTTTGTTACCATCATAGCAGTATCTATTGCGTGAAATTATCGTTGTGGGCTGATACCTAGGGGAAAGAAATAATCAACAAATAATCAAAACATCCGTTCGTTCGTTCGTATAATATTTTTTGGTGTTTTTGTTCGTTCGTATGTTCATACGAACAACAAACACGTTCGTTCGTAATTCATGAAAATATATTTTCTCAATGAATATTGCGATAATAAATGTTAATTGGAAAAACTTTAAGTCGATTTTTCCACCTTTTCCGATGGAAAATCGTGAAAAATAAGCAACATTTTGAGTCCCGAGCAATTCAATGGCCAAAATATTTGGCCTGGATTTCAGAACTTCCATAATGAAATTACAATTACACAAAGAATAAATTTGTTTACAGATAAATAATGAGCCCCCGATACGCCAATACCACGTTAAAGAACGGAAAAAAAGGTTGTCTTATCACCTTTCAATCATCCACTGATATTTATAACATATGATTGGGATAGAATAAAAATTCGAGTTGAAATAAATAATTCTATTCTACATAGGTGAACTTCACACTAGAGTGGTCCAAAAAATAAAAAGTTTTCGGTATAAAACGTATTTGAGATCATTTTTGATTAGATATGTATTAGCGATACACTTTTCAAACAAAAATATGAAGAAATCATCCAAATTGATTTTGTATCTGAAAGTTTGAAGAAATTAAAAAAAAAAAGTCGGGAGTACTCCCATACAAAATGTTGGTTTTTGAGCCAAAAATCGAAAATTTTGTATGGGAGGTACCCCCGGTACGCATTGAAATTTCTTAAAACATGTTGGGATTATGTATTTTGGTAAGAAAAAAAGATAAACCATTTTTCACGGTGATTAAATTACTGCAGACATACATTTTGGGAAAAAAATCCAATGAAATTAGAATGAACAAAATCCAAGAAATCAATATTTATTGTTATCTTATAAATTGTCAAAATGTTGTCTGTTTCGGTGTCTCTGGAAATTCATTCATAAAGTAAATTTGACGTATAATAAGTCCCACAAAATTTCATTTTTATTCATTAATGGAAGTACACGCAAAATGGCAGAAGATCATCGACTAATATGTCATATGTTTCGTTCGATAAAGTTCATTTGAAATATAAAAAATATCCATTTATAAAAAAGTCCCTCTACTTTTTTCTTAATCAAATATGAATCATCTTTATTTCGGGAATCGAAAGACTAGCCTAGCTAGGCTGCAATTGTATACTACTTCATATCAACAATTACACATCAGAAATTCTTTTAAAAGAAAAAAAAAAAGCTTCAACACTTATTAAACAAGGTTACAAAGTTTTTACAATTTTTTTAAATTTTAGCTTCGTCAATGATAGATCGTGCCAGACAGTGGCATCATTTTAATCACTGTCTTTATTACAAATCTTTACGAACAAAAAAGGATAGATTACGTATCATTACAAATTCAAAATGTTTAAACTTATTCTTAAATTCTAATTTTGGCAAAATGACGGTTCATACATTTAGCACATTTTGCGACTAATTTTCATTAATTAATGTGTGCCAAATGTTGCATGAGCACATACACGCTAATTGTTTTCAAGTTTGCTTTCACTTCTCGTCAATTTCTTTCATTCCATTTGTAAAAAAATGTAAGTATTTCGTAATTAATATATATGCCTTGAACATATGTTGAAATGTACAAAAAATGGTTGTATTTTTTTTTCTTGTTAATTCAATCAATTCTTATCTCATATTATATTATTGTCGTAATAATTAATCAAACACAGTCAGTGGATTTCATCAAATACGTAAAATCAACTATCATTTGGGCTATTATTCAAACAAATGAAATACTTATCTAAATCCTTTGGTTTCATAGTTCGATCGTAAACCATAAGGTTTCTGCCAATTATGTATTTTACGTATGAATATATTGTATGATGATGTAATATTTCGTAAATTTTCACAGCAAATCAAAATCAGAAGAAGAACAGAAAATTCATTCATTGTTCAGCTGATTGATATAAATTTTTTGCGTGATTTCTACTATCGATCGCAAGTCAGTTAAATAAGCCAAAATTCTTATTATGTATAGGTATAATTCATATAGAAAAATCGTTATGAATGGAATATCTTAAATCGTGCAAAATTCCATCGAAATTAAACTTATTTATATATAATTTTTTTTTTTTTTTCATTTATTTACCATTTATTTTGCATTGAGATTGATGCTTACTTTATATATAAACGTCTCAACATGTAAAAATTCTTAAGTATGATGCTAGCCAATGTGAGATAGAAGTTTAAAAACCATTTGCCGTCGATTATTCTCGGTGAAATTTTCTGGTTGCATCCATCATATCGAATTTAGCGCATATAAAGCGTGTAAACAGCAAACAAGAGAAAATTGCGCGGCACTGAAACTCACTGTTTCAACAAGTACGTAGAACACAACTGTTGCTCTTTTTTTGTTTCCTTGCTTATCTCATTTGTATGTGCTTGTGATAGACAGAACACCGTACCAATTTCATTCTGAATAAAAAGATTGTCTGTATGGAAGCGAGCAACATTTTAGTTGGAAACCCCATCGAAGAAGTATCGCAACCGATTTCAAAAAATTCACATTCAGACCACGTCATTTCCTATTCGATTCATTCGTTATTTAACTGTATTTATTTATTTAAAAATTGATTTATATTTGGAATGTTAGTTTTTTCCGGAAAGTTATCCTGGACTGTTTAAGCTTTATAAATATTGTGAACATAATTTTTGTAGTAAGTGTAAAACAAAATTTGAACTTGAAAAATATCGAAAAAGAGCAAAACCAATTTACGTTGTTTTTTGGCCATTCGAATTTGTGGGTTTTTAACACAAAGCTGGCTGTAGTGACGATTTCTTTAAAATAAAAGGTAAGTTTTTCTTTTTTAGCTAGATGAAAAAAAAGTTTGATTTTCATTTAAAACACACGAAAAATGTGAATTTTTTATAACGGTTTTTTAGATTTTCGCTCAAATCCTGACATGAAAGTTAAATTCTTTTTAAACAAAAAAATTGATGAAAATGAAAGATACTCTATTTCATTTGATATTTCGATGTAGTTCTTTATAAGCCGAAAGTAAATTAACGATATAAGATATTCAGATCGGAATAAGTGTTTTGATTCAGAATATGTGCTTGAATATTTTGGAACATGAAACTGTTGTCCCGACGCAACATCAGTTTAAGCGCCAAAACTAATATCTTATTGATAGAAGTTAAAACAGTTGTAAAAGTGACAACTCTTATGACGATTGGCACTCAATCAGTTCAATAATTCATTTCAGAACATTTCTTCTTCCAGTTCAACTTTCGAACAAGTACATCATACTTTCCATGGAAATGATGAAAAACTATCTGTCGATTTTTTTCGACTAAGTTGATCCAAAACAATTTCAAAAATGGAGATACACTTGTGAAGTGAACTTTTTCACCGATTACTGTTGAGAAGAACATAAAAAGTCGATTGTCATTTGGCAAATATAAAAAAAATAGTCACACTAAATGCATTCGATATTAATTCTTCTAATTCCCTGTTATAAAAGGTATGGAAGAAATCTGTAAAAATGTATTATGATATTTTGGAAAAATACCTTTCAATGGTCTCCTTCATCAAATGAAATTATTTTATTAAATTACAAAATATAATATATCTGGCATTTCATGTTTCAAGAAACATCAAAGACCTTACAGGTGTGATCAATGAAATTCGATACAATTGCCAAATACTTCTACATTGCAAAATATAAAAAGCGATGGATTTGAGATATTTCATATGTTAGATTCAATTTTTCAACGCCTAACTCATTGGAAGAGGAGGCATTAAATACACAAAAAATGTCAAATAATCAATATGAACAACAAGTTAAATGTAAATTTAAATGTGAGTTTTCATAAAAAAATTGATTATATATACTATATATACAATCAAAGAGGAAAAAGTGATTTATTAAAACCATTAAACGCCTTGTGCAAAATGTGCAAACATTTGAACACACGCGTATTGAGAAATATCGAAAATCCTATCAATATTTTTTGAGATTAGCCAGTATTATGTTCTATTGAAAGCATTTGGCCAACGGTGGAAAATAAAATTGTTCCAAATATTTGAGAAAGAAAACAAATCGATGAAAACCTGAAAGTTGCACTTCAGCATAATATCAATAATTTTATTCTATATCCATTCCAAGCTGATGTTTTCCTACCGGGGGCGAACCAATCTCTTACAATAAAATTACTATAGGAAATTGCTCATCTATTGCAAAGCATATTTGTTCCAAGAAGAAACATCATGTTAATATTTTTATTAAAAACTTTTCGATAGTGAAGCCAACATATATATAGAAACTGGAATAAATCTGGTATCATGTAATTCATGAAATTTGATAACTTTTTTGTCCGCAACAATTTTAATTTGAAAATGATTCGCAAACAAATTAAATTCGTGAACATTTTAAGTGCTCCTGAAAATAGTTTTACTTTAATTGACTCCAATATTCCTGTTATGGCTATAACGTGAAATCATAAAACTGATTGTTCAAAGTGATGTACAACTAGTTTTAATCGTTTAATTAAAGAAACCCGACCGATATCTGACTGCGATATTATATTTATCATGGATTGCTTTGGCTTCATTGAATCACGGGACACCCTACTTTTTCCTCGCTAAGCTTTCTTAATAATATTTTGGGTGTTTTTTCTTTATTATTGACATGTTATCCAAAAATTGGCCAAAATAAATAGATGATTCTATTTTTTCAGTATGACTAATAATTTGCGCAATGCCGGAAGTATGCAATAGAATCCTTTTGAGACAAAGATAAATTAACGTCATATTTGAACAAAAATAGAATTTTATGAACCAAAATAGAGAGTGATGAATGAATCCGTTCTATTGAGAAATACAAGATTATAATCCTATTGAATAAAGTAGTGGTCTACTGTAAGATGTAGAAATATACAGGCGAAAAGTATATGGCCAATTTAATGTTGTGCTGTGCTGGAATTCTTCAATGCTCAGATTATTCGGAAGGAGTCAAACTAGTTCAGATGGAAAATTTTACCTATCAAGGTTAAGGGCGTATTCAGAACGTCAAAAAGCGACATCAAAAATATTATGAAACTTTTTAAAGAATTCCTTTTGCCTATTATAAGTGCCATGACTTCATGCAAGAATATTAGTATTTGGAATCATCTACAAAAGCATTCTCATATCTATAAACTCTCGAATCTGGACATTTTATTGTTGCCATATTAGTTATTCATACATGCATAGGTCCAAATGTAAAATTATTACTGGAGTTTTTTGTCGGACAGTGTATAATCAATGTATTTTGGGGTTTGTACTTACAACGAACGTGGGGCTCTTCAACAAAATAAATTAAAATAAAAACCGATTCAATATCCATTTTCTCTGAACCAATTTGTTGCGCTTCCAAATCGTAATGCCATTGCGAAGATTCATAACACCTACGAAAGAGCCAAAAATAACAATTTCCACTCGACTTTTGACTACAATAAATTGTCCGAACGAATTGAATTGTTTAAATCAAACATATTTTCTATATAAAATGTTATAATGAAAAAATAGCGTCTATTTTCTTGCAAACTATAGTGAACAACAACCGCAACATGAAGTTTTTCTATATTTTTGTACATATTAATTTACAAATCTATCTTTAAAATATACAAGCCCAGAATCCCGTATCGAAAAATGTCCCAAAATAGTCGATTTTTTTTTACTTGCAGTCGTTATAAGTCGCTTAGAAATGGCGCAAACATGAAAAAATCCAGTCGACTCTAGTCACTTTAAGTTGATTTAAATTATTTTCGACTTAAAACGACATAATGTGACTGAAGTCGACTGGATTTTTTTCATTTTTGTTCCATTTCCAATCGACTGCAAGTCAAAAATGTCTCAAATAGTCGACTGGTACCAGTTGATTGAAATCGGTTGGATTTCATACAAATTCCGAAAATCATCCAATCATCACTGTTTTTTCTGCTGCGGGATTCTGTTGCGTTTATTCGTTTGTTGTACGAGCAACGAACACGTTCATACGTTAGTAATTCATGAAATATATTTTCTCAGAATAAACAAATATTGCGATAATAAATTGTCGGAGAAACTTTAAATCGATTTTTCCCGCTTTTCTGATGGGAAATTGGGAATAATAAGCAAACCCGATGCTAAGAGTGAGATAATATCGGTTGAACGAAGAATTCAAACCTATCATTTTCTACGAACGAACAAATGCAATACAATTCTGCGAATGACCGAACAAAAACACCAAACGAATATTTTACGAACGAACGAACGGTTGGTTCGTAAGTGTTCGTGGACAGCTATGAGAGTAAGCAAAGACAAAAATTATTATAAAACCGTTATTTAAACGATCCGAAATTTATTACCGAAAATGTCGATGATCCTATATCATGTTAGTAAAATACCAACCAGAAAAAAGTTCACGTATGGACATAAAAAAACAAAGGTTGGAATCTTATTTAATCCATATTCAAGTACAATGTACTTTCGTGCATGAATGGTTGGTCGAAAGTCTATTACAATCATTAAAGGGCTATGTTCGTAATAAACACGTATTCTCTATGATTTGTCATATTATTGAAATGGATATGTGTGATTGTAGTAATGCATGATGATTACAGATACATAAACATTTAAAAGGAACAACAGCAAATAAAACGTTCGTAAATATAATAATAACGATATCTATCTAATTTGTAACAAAATTGTTTGTAAGACCGTCCCAAATGTGTCTTTAGTATTGCTCATATGCTGGTGTTGGTTAGTATTTTACATTTATTTGTTTATTATTTTGCCCTCAGTCTCGGGAAAATTGAGGTTTACTGAATAAAAACTGCTAATCCAAATGTGAGTAGCATTGTTTGATTTGTACCACACAGGACAACAGCAAATATCTTTCCATTGTCATCGTGGGATATCCATCATTAAATGTGATGCGTTAAATGTGTACGATTGCATAAAATATAAGACTTACGTATTTACCCAAGAATCTCGCAACTCTCCTATTAATTTTTGTTTCGTATTTCTCTCACCTTATTCACCAAACATTTATCAAGATAAACAACCAAATAAAAGACAAAAAAACACAAATAAAAGAAAGATAAACGACGATGATTCACGTAATATAATCGATTTGACTTGAAAAGAATTTGCTGGTAATTTGCTGGAGTTTAACACCTACAAAATAAGACCTACGAAAATACTAATATTCCAATGATGCAAGCATTTCGGTGACCCATAAAGACTTGATAAATGATATTCAGGACGTTTTCAACCAATTCTCGGTTAACAGTTGCAATTCAAATTGTTTCATTGAATATATTACTTCTTGGAAGCGCGTAAATTTCTCACTGATGTCAATGTTTAAAGAATCTTTCATTCAATATTTGATGAGCGAGTAATTTTGAGTTTGACGCTTCGGTGTTTGCTGTTAAATTTTCGTACTCAATAATGTACGGAATATCACTTTGGAACTACCAATATTTCAAGCTGATTCTTCATAACAAAACTATTTTTTTTTATTTTAACTCTGAATAATTTGAATCCTGAAATATGTAACCATGCATTACCGGCGGGTCGATTTGATTGAAACAGTGTTTTTTCTTCCTCTTGGTGTTTTAAGATTAATTTCTGTAGCATTGATTCAATACATTCTTTCATTGTATTTTGATGAAAATAAAAAGTTATCCTTTTAACAGACTTTTTAAAAGCACGAAACCAAGGTATGCTATGACGAATGGTACAACTTATTATGCACACGCCAAAAAAAAAACGATAAAAATTGTTTCACATAAAAAAGGAAAAAAAGGATTGTCTTATTTATTGTGTTTGCAAATTCAAAACCTCACATTTTCTCTATAGAAAAGTAAGTCAATTTTTAAAACAAATTCGTTTCAATTCTCACCAGTCAGTAATTTTACGCTTTCAGTTTTCCATATACATTTCATTTTCTGTTTACCAAAAACATTCATACCTTGCCCCAACTACAATCTAAAATAAAGAAAAATGCGATAATCAGTTGTCATATTTTGCTCGTACTTATGTGCGCTGTATAACGTTCTCAGATCCTTTGCGATTCATCCCAATTCACGAGGATAAATGTCATTCCCAACAAAATTGTTGATTGATAAAAATGAAGACAGCATTAGCGTTGCACAAAAACAACCCACAAATGTCTAATGTGTATAGTAATAAAAAAAAAACATTTTAGTTTATATGTATGCTAAAAAAGATGAAGGTTAAATAGCATTGTCATATGTTGAACGTGACGTTCTTTTATTCAAATAAAACAAATGAATTTCCTTCATTTTAAATATACACGTTACTTTTTGTAAAGTAATTTGGATATATCACACATATGTAAAATGCCCAATTTTACTTTGAGACAAATTACTGAATTTGATTTTCGATTATCAATCGTTTATTAAAACCTGTAATCAAATCACTTCTGTAATTCAATGTTGTTCACAGTCCATAGGTAAAAATGGATATAAGTTCAAATCGGGGTTTCCATTATCAGAGTAAATATTATTAGAGCTATCAATGGTAATATCTACATATTAAAACATTACCAAGTCGTTTCGATGAAATTAAATACTGAATTTTTTTTAAAAAGCTATTAAATAGATAAATGAAAATTGTTCGCGACATTTCCGCTTCATACAAACATTTAAATTATTTTTTTATTTGTATAAGGTTCGGTTGAATAATAAATTGAAATTTGGTTAAATTGGAATGGTTTCGTAGCGTAAATTTTGCACAACGACAACACGGCTAACGTTTATCAAATCAAATAAGCATGAGCTATAAAATGCATGACCGAGTATGTGGTTGAGGTAACAAGTTGATGTAATTGAACTTCTCATAATACATAGAACGTTGGACCATATCTATGTGCAATGGTTTTTCCTTTTCAACGGCCGTTCATTTTCTGCATCAAAATCAAAACAATCGATGCATATTCATTGTAATATATATCAAGTGTACATCAATGAAGGGACAATTTATGTCAATGCATGCACCCACAAGCCAATCAAATCTGTAAACTTTAATATTAGTTTGTCGGCTACATGAAAATATTGATTCAATAGTTGTTCACGCCACACTATTCCTGGCAATTTTCCATACGACAGAATGAACAGCAATCTTGAAAATGTAGCTTTTAATTGTTGAACTCATGGGGTATATGGTTATATTTTATTGCGTGAAATATCTGTTATTAATGAAAAATAGTATCACGTCGATTTGTTGATAATCAGAAAAAAGAATTGTTGGTATCATATTTAAAAAATTACTTGTCTCATAAATAGTACAAACTGTCCTTTTTTGCACGCAGATGTGAAACATATATATTTATTTTCTGATGGTGTTCATCTTTGGTTTACAATCGATATAATGTTCAAAATACGCAGAACTTTGCCAATAATCAACTTCAGTATAAAACTTTTTTCTCAATGCATAGCCATGAGAGTGAGTTTACAAAAAGTGAAACTAATAAGAATATCTCAAAGAAAAACACGATCTTAAAACTTCTGTATAGCGCGATAAAATTAAAAAAAATATATATCTGAGAGATTAAATGTCTAAATATATATAAAGCTCTCATTAAGAAGGCATGCGTACAACATCAATTATTGTGCGATTAAAATATTTTTCGTGTACAAATTACAGTTATATATATGTATAATATTCTGTTTGTCTCATTTTTGTGACGAACATTTTAAAAATGAATCGAAATTTATTTTGAAAAAAAAAAAAAAAAAATGCGCGAATGGAATGAAAAAAAGCTATGATGATGCAACGAGTTAAAAACTGAAAAAAGTGATATATTATATCACGTGCACAACAACTTAAACATAATTACCGTTGATAAAATATGTTTTCTGGTACTGCTTGATAATAGCATATAAACCCAACAAGCACGAAAATGTCATATTAATGCTAATATTAATTAGATGAAATAATGTAACTACAACAAGAATAAAATTTGGTCTATTCGGTTCTAAAAATAAGTTGGACTGGAAATGGGTGCAATGAACATTTTATTCTAGAGCGAGTATTGTGTGTTTAGGATGATGCGTACATATGTGTTTGAAGTGTGTTTGGAAAGTACATTAAATATTCAAATATAAAAAGTGTATGTGATTTTTTATGTTCAGAAAATTGATAAACCGGATAAAAAATTGCAAAAATGGGTTGTTTCAAACTGTTGCAATGATTAAATTAATATACGCGGTCCAATGTGTTGAAGTAAAATAAAATATGGTGTGAAAGTATATCGAGAACATAAAGTAAACAATATCCGCACTTGGATTAATACATTAATAGATAAGATCTTAGGTTAGAAATACAGAAGAATAAACAACCGATTTTTTAAGTGTCTATAAAACACCAATTTGCTGCTATAATCTAGAAGTGGATTTCATGGTGGGAAAGTTTTTATGTAGAAAAAACACACACATATAAAATAAAAATTAAAACGCGGTTCAATTAGACACCTTTCATATGTTCACATGCTGCCTATATCGTTAATAAATATTCAAACGTAGACATCGATTGTTTTCCATAAATCAATGTCAGCGGAACACGAGCAATCGATGGTTTACCGCTATGTCGTAATATTACATATTTAGGTAGTTTGTTCTTCAAATATAATATGAATTAAAAGATATGATTTTCGATTTCTCCCGGCTAAATTATGATAGGATATTGAAACGATTATGAATATATCGGTGACAATATAAACACAATAGCGGTTGACTTCGATAATTGTACGTTACGTTCACCCTGTTACCTCAAAATAAAGTTTCGCTTTTATCTGCTTGGTTTTTTGTTATCATTTTTGCTTGTTTGGTTTTTAGAATATTAAGCTTCTTCAATATTAAAAAGGAAAGAATTTTTTTAACTAACCAGTAAACATATCGAAGTGTCACAAAAAGTATCTTTTTACCCTAATGGGGGGGCTCTGAATTATTGGGAGACTTGGGGTGAATGGGCACAAGACAAATATTGTTTCTAGGGTAATTTGGGATGCTGACTCCGAATTTCGAGGTTTCAGGCCGAAAAAATCATATCTTGGGGGTTTTTGACCCCCAACCCCTCTTGGGGGTGGGGGGATTTAGAGGGCAGGGGTCATAAAAAATTTCTCTCGCCATTCTGAACAACTTTGTAGTACATTATTTTTTGATCCGACCAAATTTTGACATGGTGGGGTACTCCTCTGCCCCTCCTACTTCGATTGGGCACCCCCTTTTTTTACAAACTTATTTTTTCGGCACTTTACATCGATCTGTATAGGTGAGAATATTAACTTTTTGTGACACTTCGATATGTTTACTGGTAAGTATTTTTTCTCTTTTTATCATCATATTTGATAATATAATGTTTTTTTAATTCAATTTTTTACTATTTTTTTGCTTTTAATGTCATTAATTTATGACGGAATTCATTGCCGTTTAAATGAATGTGTAATATGAACACACTCTTTCTCGCGCTTATTATTTAGAAAAAAAAATGAAGAATAAAAGAATGAAAGCATTACACCCGATAAGTGTACATTTACAGTTACAGTAACTGAGTTACTGATGCGTTTCATATCTGTGATGCACACAAAAGTAACAATAATACTAATCTCGAAAAGTAAAAAAATATAAATCTAACGCAATAAATTTCTTTGCAGATATCATTAATTTTCAAAAACCATGTCGAATTGTCGTGTACTGTGCGTGCTGACTGTTGTAATTGCTTTGCTGGGCATAGGCACATCAGTCTATGGGGGACCCGCCAGATCAATGGCTGCTCGGACAATGGCAAAGATCCCACGTGCTATTCGTGCACCTTATCGAAATAATGAAATAATGACCGCTCGCGGTTTCGGAAAACGGAGCCAAATGACTAAGATTAATGACGGTATTTTTTCATCCTTATAAATATATTTTATGCATGAAACATGTTAATTCTTTTTAGTGCATTTAAATAATATGTAGCTATTAAATAGAACGTTAACAAAACCGAAAATGATTAGTAATCAAGTGTTTTTTGCTCGGAGATTACAGAAACATTTTTGAAATATTGTGATTGATTTGAGTGTCCACTGGGCGCGGACTATAGCTAATTTTATTCGCACATTTCATTTGTGCTATTGGGCATCCTCTCCCATCACCCCCAACAAAATTCACGAAAACTTCGAAAAATACCCCGAAATTGGATTCATATCCCATCTAACCCCAAAATTATTTACATATTCGGATTCCTAGTGAAAAATTACCTATATATACATTGCAATCTCTTCTAACTTATACCTTCCATTCGGGTCAAAAAGTGAAAACACTCCATTTCATTGTGATTTCACAACGGGATATTCACCCCTTATGACTCAACTGTACATTCAAGTTCCTTCTAATGAAAGTTACGCATATCAATGTAGTTTCCATTGGCATATAGTTTTGGCTGCCCTGAATACCCCAAAATTTCACCCATGCCTTTCGAATTATTCACCATAAGATTTTCATATTAATATAATTAAATAAAATGGAATGAAAATTCGGCGAAATGACCTTGTTTAAATTTGAAAATGTAATGACTGATAACAATTTAAATTTTGTTCTAAATAAATAAATTTTTAAAATCCTATGCAGACATTCCATGGTCAATGGATAAATTTGACGCTCAAGATAGTTCAAGTGACAATGATGATTCCATACCAAAACTATTAAATTCACAATTTGAAGAAAGGTAAAAAAAAGTGTTTTTTTTTTCTTCTTAATTTTATACTTAACCATAATATGTTTTGAACTTAATCATCATTTTCAGTTATCCAATTGAGTTGATTGTTCAAGAAACGTTGGGAAATCCCGCTTTTCTGCGTTCAATTCTGAACCGTTACGTCGACACGAATCATGATGGGCAAATTTCGTTACGAGAATACATCGATGTTGCATCACCTGTTGCTAATGGTTTAATTTAAATTATATACTTTACAAAAATTTTGATTTTTTTTATTCGGATAATTTAAGCGCCAAATAGATCAAAAATTTATTTTGATGGACACAAAAATTTTGAATAAAAGATGTAACATATCAAGTTTCTGTAGAGTTTGGGATATCTTCAATGCAAAATTTCTCATATGTTTAACTGTTATGCAAACCGAAAAAGCCACTGAAAAAAATCAAAAAAAAAAAAAAAAAATATCGATCACATTTTTTGATGTATTTCAAATCATTTCAAATATTATACAATAATACAAGGAGAACACATGTTGTTGACATCTATTTGTTGATATCACGATATTTAATTTAAAGCATATATCAAATAAATACTTGAAAAACCAAACAGATAAAGTTATATTTGTGTACGTTGGAATAAAATAGTAATAGAGAAACATTCAGAAGTAGATTGTTAAAAAAAGATTTTTAAACAACTTGAGAACGTAACATGAATTTTTAATTCTTGCAATTATAACACTTCGATCATTCAGTTTGAGAGGAGAGCATGTTACAAGGTAAAGGTTTCTGTAATTTAAACATTTAATTTACAGATACTTTTTATTATTTCATTTGCAAATGTAAATTATCTGTCATATTGTAAGTAAGAGTTTATAATTCACAATGCATATTTCAACCGTGCACCAAAGTTTATACTCCCCTTTCGAGCTGAACAAACATTTAATGATGTCAATATTTTTGAATGTTAAGTTGCCCAATTGCTTTTTTTATTTCGCGTGCAATTTATTTAATCTAGTTCTTCTGGTCTATGATCCATGAACACAGATTGAAATACGAATGTATCTGAAAATACCTAAAATATTCTGTACCACGTTTATTGCGATGTTATATGTTTTTGTGTGAATACCAACTTTCTTCCGAACTTATCTCGTTTTTTTTCTAACGGAGCATACCTTTGATTTCATTGTATACTAGCATATGGCGAAATTTAAATACCATAATGAGTTGGTAATGGAAATTTATTTTTATGCATTAGTGGGTGATGTACCACCTGACTTTAGCATGGTGGCGTAACAAATTTGACGCACTCCTATCTCACATGACGACCATGTTCTGTTAACACTGGATATCAGTTGAGAATCAGTGTGTCGGTTCACCACCTGCGAATGCATAATGATCGAGAGAAAGTATCTCATTAGGAAAAGTTACCATTTTAGAACTGGCCACTTCGATTATATGAGTAATTTGCATATAATCTTTTGTAAACAAACTTCTGGGTAAAATTGATAACCAAAAAAGTTCTCGTTTTTCACAAAAAATCCTAGCAAATCGAAAGAATTTTATCAAAAACTCAGGTGGGTAAACCTTTGAGTTTTACTCAAATATGCGAAATATTGAGTTTATTGATTTTGCATAAATGTAGGGTATGTCCAAAAATACGATGACATCACGATAGACTGGTAGACATTTTTGGGCGTACTGGATTTATTTGAATTATACGCTCAAAAATCAAATAATATAGAAGATCTATAAAATTACTAGAAGTTTTATAAAATAAAAAGTGTTGCTCAGGAGTTCTGAGTCAGAATCAACATGAACTTTTACAAAATTAAACATTTCAAATTAATTTGATGTAGAGTTTCGGTTTCTGCTCAAATTAAGTTCGATACGCAGAAGTACAGGATGAACGAATGAAACTAGCGCATAGGTGGGAAAATCATATACAATTAAATTTATCATTTCAATTTCGTCGATTAAGAAAATATCAACTAATTTTTGTCAATACCTTCACATTTTCATTAGATTGATGAGTGTTGAATAAAATTATATTTAAAAAAAATGTGAATGTTAAAATAAAAAAGTATAAGATGAATGAACAAGTATATTATTTTATGTATCATCGAGCTTTAAAAATCGGTGACTACCCGAACTTAGGTCATATAATTTTTCAATTGCCGCACCTGAATACAAAAAAGGCGACACTTACAATAAAGGTAATATAATAATAGCTCTACTCTTGAGATGTTCCTTTGAAAAAATATAACCAGAATATTGAATCGACATAGTAGCTCTATAATAACAAACACGCGGAACAAATTCGATGAAAAAACGTTTGGCGTTGTTAAACAAACACACGTTTGAAATTTTCAAATTGATAATTATCTTAAGTAATATCAGATTTGGTTTTCTGTTGTGGGATCACCGCCGTAGTCACCGCCCAACACTTTCTTGAAAATGGGCGAAAAATGGAAAACACATTTGATGGGCTGCTATTAGCTATAATTTTGGTATTATGTTGTAGTTGACAGGTCTTAGTTCACTTGTTGATTCAGCGGAGAGCGATATATTATCAGAGAAAAGGTATGTATATTTTAATAACTCTATATATGAGCTACAATTCGTACATGGGCACCGGGGGAGGTGTAGGCCCGGATACCCACCTCTCCTTAAATTGTTAAAACTGTTTTAAGAAAATATAATAAAGCGCGTTAGACTCTTCGTACACATTCTGACAAGTCGGTGACAACAACACAAATGAAACCGAAAGTGTATACTGTATAGCCAGACGTGATGCTTGAATCAAATCGTCAGTTTCCAAAACCTGCTGCCTAAAAGAGTACCAACTGTGGATCAAAACCAGGCACATCAATTTAAAAGTTGAAAATTGTCGTACTACTATCTACTTGATGGATCCAACCGGGTGCAGAGTGTTCTTGATGTTGAGCGCAGTTTACGTAGAAACAACAATATCAAAACCTATAGTATGTCGTTAGCTGGAAGTGAATCCTGTGGAGCAGGTGGATCAAGCCTGGTCCATTGTGATCTAGAATTGAATGGTGTTAACACGCCTGGCAAATTTTTTTTTTTTTTTTCTAATTTTCCATCGGAAAAGCGAGAAAAATCCATTGATTGTTTTTTCGATTTCCATTCAAAAATTAAAATTTTACTGATAATATTTTTATGATACTTTGTAGTATTTTACTTATCGTGCCTACAACATACTATATAAAGAATCTACTATTTTCATTTTTTATGTATACCATTCTCGTCTTTAGACAACAAAAACTAACCCGGAACACACACACAAACTTTTAGTTTTATAGTTTTCAATTTCAGAATTTCCGAAGTATCATAAAGAAGGAATATCCTCTATGCACCACCTGCAATTGTTAATATCTATATATAATTTAAATTTCTTTCAATTGGTTTTAAACAGAGCCGACACAGAAAAGACACTATTTTTGCTCGAGATTTGCGAGAAAATAAAACGTTTGCATTCAGCTGGCTGAAAATATCTCAATATAATGTCTGATTGCGAAGAAATGAATAAGTATATTATAAGACTATAAAAGATAAAAAAACAAGAAAATATTAAAAACATAAGTCTTGCCAAAATTAAATCAGAAACTGTATCTGGTATAAACTGCCGAAAGAGTTTCTGACATGTTTTTTATTCAAAAATGCAAAAATATGAAATTTTGAACAAAAATATGTTTTTTTAATTATTTGTGATTTTATTCATGCATTTTTATGAATACTGTTCTTTCGCCATTACAAAAAACGCAAAAAAAATCATACGATCTCAAATGTCGAGCAAAAATAGTGTTTTTTCTTCGCACAATCGAACGTCTGAAAATGTTCGGTGTTCGATCGCACAAACGAATGCGGCGAACATTTTAATTTCTACAAACGACCAACCGACCATAGATTAATAATTTCAATGAACGAACAAAATTACCATTTTAAAAGTGTTACGTGTGCATAAAATATTTCCGAAACCTTGAAGTAAAGTTGGTTGTTGAGTATTGACCAGAATGGTTGGTAGCATGCGCTGAATGTTGTATGGAAACAAATGCCAATCGCAATAGTAAATATCCTCATTCAAATCTATGAATGCACTGCTTATATTCTCACCAAAATTACAGAATAAAAAGATAACAAAGAATGACCAGAAAATAAGACCAATTTGGATAGTCAAAAAGAAGAAATTCGTGTTTTCCTGTAACTAAATATTTAAATAAAAATGGTTTGGATTAGCTATTAAGTTATAATAATTGGATGAAAGAAGAAAAATAAACTCAACTAATTCAAATTGAACCATTAAAAGAGAACTGCAAATTGTAATGATGCTCCATAAAAAGCAGCCCAGGAACATGAATTCGAAAATCCCCGCAAATTTGAAGGTAAATCTTAAAATTTATTTAAGCGATATTATAACTATGACAGCATTTGATGATAACTATGAAACTCAACTCTTTCACAATAGCATGAAATTCAACAAATTCAGATAGTTTATCCTTGAGCTTTGCTTGGCTTTCTTCATCTTTACCAAATGCATTCAAAATATTCCCTTCTCGTTTTAGGTCTTTAACGAAAGCTAACAACATACAACATTGAGCGACCGTATAGTTTATAGTGATTGTGGCGACTATTGCGCCACAATAAACAATCCAAAAAACTACAGCAAAAGCAACCAGATACAAAACGGGATCATTCCAGTCGAACGGAAACCTATTTATTATATAAAAATTAAAAAAAAAAATTAGAAGGGAATAAATTCGAAAAATCGATTCTCACAGGCCAGAATTCGACATACCACATACGAAATACCAAACGAAAGGCTTCATGTTTAAAATCAGTTGTAAAATAAAAATAATAGCATATGATGAGAAAGGTAGTATTAGCGCCAAAAAGAGACACTTTCATAATTGCAAACTCTATCATTGTTGTCCAGTTTTCGACCTTTTCGTTTGCCTCTTCATAAATTGCTTTGGATACAGAATTTACCATTCCTAACAATTGATCAAATACATATTACTCATGTGTAAACAATCTATTTGCGTTTTCAATACGTACTTTTTGCAATTGTCGCTTCGAATTCCCCAATCAGCTTGAACATGTTAGATGACTTCCAAATGAATATAATTAATAATGAAATGAACCATATTGATGATAACAATGCATAAAAGCAGTCAGAATATTCTTGAAAGGTTTTTGCTTCGACAAGAAAACATAATGATGTCAATATAAATAATAACACTATTGTACTGAAAATGGCCCAAAATCGAACACTTATCGTGTGCTTTCCAAACGTTTGCGGCTGATGAATTCCCAACATATCAAAGTTTTTTCGCAACGATTGAAAGACGTTCATGATTTTTATGCTTTTGGAAATTCCCAAACACTTTTGATTGAATTTTATTTAAAATAATTTGGTATTGATACGTA